AGAGTTGTGCCATTACCGCATTATGAGGTCAAATCCGGTTTTCTTATCAAGGCTTAGGTTAAAGCCCTTTCTTAATTTCTGGTTTGCTTTCATGCTGGTATATGTTTATAAAACCCTATTGGGGTTGTGAATTGGTGTTGTTTATGGCTCGGTATGGTTTCTTGTTTTATGATATTGTGAGCCTATGGAACGGCTCTTGACATGAAATGCTTATCTGTGTGTTGTTGGGTTGTGATTGAAGAAAAATAATGAAGCCTTAATGGCTGGAAAAGTAAGAATTTTAGGGGAAGTGCTGCCCGATTTTCTAGGCCGTTGGTTCCTTTAAGTTGGATTTGCCTTTTGGTAGAATGAAAGGCTTTTGGGTTGTTTGCGCCTAAGTCTTCATGTTACCTTTTTGTTTCCAAGAAAATCATGTTTTCCACCCTTGCATTAGTAATTATTTTGGCGAGGCATACGACTAGTAGTCGAGCCTCATGTGCATTGTGTTTACTCGATTCTGGAAGTAAAACCTTCAATTGATTTATTTTGATTATTTTAGGGTTTCTTGGCGATTAAGGCCAATCTGAAGTGAAAACTTTTGAAGTTGAGCCGGTGAGTGTACACTCCACTCCATTGCTGTTTAACTTGATTTCTGCTCTGCAATCTGTTTATTTGTTCGAGACGAGGGTGTACTTTATCACACTCGTTCTCTAGTCTGTTCATATGCCAATTTACTATGCAAAATTTGAATCTGTTATCTGTGTCTGCATCTGTTCGGATTTCTATGACCTATGAGCTCAATCCTGTGGCTAAGTTATTCGAGTCGGGCCGGCAAGGGCCTGGACGATTAGATAACGAACCACGGTAGTCTGTTCGGGGATTTTGGGTATTGAGACCCTTGATTCCGGGTATACTCGAGTATTACCATTTTTGTTCGTTTGAGGTGAGCGGGCCCGGTAAAGGGGTGTTTGGTGGACGGAATTCGGTGATAAGAGGGGTCTACGGACGCATTGGTTCTATATACGTTGACGGAGAGTCAACCGGTTAGGATCAAGTATTGCGCTGGAAATTTGGCTCCTGAGAGCCACCCGTATCCTTCTGATTTGAATCATTGGTTCCTTTGCTTTACATCTGACATGTGTATCTGATTTGTTAAATGTGAAATGCCATGATTTTAATGCTATCTGTTTGGTACCTCATTGAACGCAAGCTCACCCCGTTCTGTTCCTTTTGTTTTCCTTACAGGAAAAATAAATACTTTTGGACTGGATTTGATAATCGGTTGCCGACTTGAGCTAGTTGAACATATCTTTTGTATAGCTCATGTATTAAAACCCTAAGTGTACTTTTGGGGCGTTTCTCTTTTGATTTGGCAAACCGTGTATATGTGTTATCTTTTGAAAGCTTTTTGTATGTCCTTTTGGATTGTAATCGCTAAAGTTCAGATGTGAATGTTTGCGTGCTCTTTCGGTTGGGTTTTGACGGATCGGTTACTATTCATGACCGACTCCGGATTTCATTTTTTATTTTGGGTTATTTTACCATTTTGACCTGTTTACGCTCGTTTGTAAGTTCCGGATCGCAATAGATAGCTCTAATTTGATCCGTAGTCCTGGCGAGAGATGGGCAGGCAGTCCGCTAACCCCTTTGGTTCGCCTTAGGGGAAAGTGGGGCTGTCACAACTTCCCGGTGTGCTCGCTTGGCCCCAGTTTTGGTGGGACTCCCAGTTCGGGATTCTGACGGATCTGCTCCCTGAACCTTGGGCTCCTTGTCCTGATGACCTCCCGACTGCTCTTTGAGGTAGTTCATGATTGCCTCGAAGGTGGGCAAGTTTTGGGCCACTGTCTGAACCAGTTGTTCAGGCGGGATTCGTGAGGGCCCTGCCCCTCCTTCTCCGGGTGTTGGACCCCGAGAGGGGTTTTGGGAGCCACCACGCTCGGTCCCCTTGGACCCGCCAGCGTTCCTCTGCGACCTAGTCTTCGGCATGACTCGCAATGAAGTGTAACGTGTTCCCACAGACGGCGCCAATTGATGCGACTGCCGAAAACCGTGTCCGAGCTGATGCGGCCGACCTGGTTGGGAAAAGCTGAGCTGGGATCGTGCTAGGTGACCTGAGAAGAGAGAACGGAGGCGGGACTGATGTCCCTGGGATAACTCCGACGGTCAAGTTAGTTTGGTCGTAGAAGGATATAGTAATAGTAGAGAATACTCGTGGGCGTACCTTGTGTAGTCTTGATAGTGGAGTATATATAGGACCGTTCGAGTTATAGTTTCCTTATGGGAGTCAAAGTTCCCTTAGGGTTCGGAGTCTTCCTAGGGTTTCCCGCGGCGGCCCCTAAATGTTCGGAGACGGCGGCCCATCAAGCCCATCATAGGAGACCTCCGACACGCCGAGCTGGCTTTCTTAGGCCGAGCTGGCCCATGCCAGCCTCGAGGTACCCACGGCCGACCTGCCGCGTGTGGTCTACCGACCTAACATATGTCATGCGCGGATTTGCCCCACTACATAATTTTTTCTTTTTTTCTTTTTTTTTTTGAAGAAATTTCGTTTATGCTCTTAACAAAGATAAAAACATCATCCCTTGAGTTGGTTTGAGGTGATAGAGTTAGTGTCATATTTTCCTACCAATTCGAGTTCAAATTTTTTAGGACATTTGTCCGTCACACAGCATTTACCTAATACGTCTTACTCCTCAATATGATTGACGGGTTATTGCACGGATTGAAATTTATCCAATGCGTACTCTCTCAGATGGCGGCTACGAATTTCTTGTCAAAAAATAAAAATAAAAAGGCAAAAACGTCTGCTTCATCAACTTCTGTGAATATTAGGGAGCCAGCGTCTTGTTCAAACGGATTAATGTCATAAATTCTGACATGACCCCTTTTTGATCTCATCCAAATTAAGATTGAGCTTAATTCCCTCCAAAAAAAAAAAAAGAAAGAAAAGAAGATTGAGCATAATTGCTTACCACCGCCCTCGTTGTACTGAATACGAGGTCAAGTCACCTCAGGCAAATGTAAAGCTACAATAATTAATAGGGAGAACTGCACAAATAGTCCCTCACATATTGCAAATGTGAAAATTTAGTCCCTCAGATCGAAAATGATCAATTTTAGTCCTTAGCAAATAAAAAAGGATCAATTTTAGTCCCTTTTCACTTTTCCGACTATTTTTGCCCGGAATATCTCACGTGCACACCACGTGGCCAACTTTTCAAGGGTAAAAATGCCAAACCACTTATCTGTTGACCAAAACCAAAATGTAAAGGACGAATACTTCCCAAAATTCTTCTTCTTCTTCATTTCAACCAAACCCAAAAGCTGAGCTTCATCTCCATGGCAGAACCTCGAGTAGTCAAAATATCAGAATCCTCGCTCTGAGGTGTCGAAGTAGTAGCAGCGGAGGCAATAAATCTGCGGGAGAACCTTTTCGCTTTTGATGTACAATTAATAGACACAATTCTTGAACGAACTGAAGAGCAGATTGAGTAACTCTGGTTCACAAAAACCTCGTTTTTCCACAACTGAGTAAAGACTGTAGCGCCAAATCGATTGAGAGGAGCCGGTTGCCTCTTGGCTAGGCCCAGAAAGGTAGTTGCAATATCTATGGACATTGAAGCCATGGATAATATTCCTCTAGTATTTTCTTCTATGGAATGTTTAGGGCGTTTTCTAGTGGTGATTTTAGGGGCCTGTAGGGTTTTAGAGGGTGAGGTTTTTCTGGATAGTGTGGGGTTGCTGTGGGGAGATGTAACCGAACCAGATATAGATTGGCAAAAATAATTTATGTGTTTCAAATAAAAATGGGAAAAAATCCTGTTGGATCGGGTCCAGCACTCAAGTCTGACAGTCGTGGTAACATAAATTGTACTACAATCCGAGGCTGGGATGAAGATTCTGTCCGAACTCTCAAGAACCACGGCTGCATATGAGCAGCCTAACAATAACAGTAGTACTTTTAAGACGTCAGTTCATCATGGTATTTTGGCATATCAGCTTAGCGTTTTATTCTTGGCATGGATAGTGCGCTTCTTTGGGTTATGGTTGTGGTGGTGTTCTTTTTATCTGTTCATTGGTTGTTGTTTTGGTGTAGTTTCTTGGTTATTTGCTGTTTTGGGAGGAACAGAGTTCTTGTATTTGGGTAGCGGGAGAGTTCTTGCATGAAGGAGACAACTCTGTTGATTTCAGAGTCTTCGGGTAGGGAGAATGAAAGCCAGGGGAATTTAGGCAGGGGTTGGGAGCTACCCAAATGGTTCTTAGACGAACGATGCAAGCCAAAGTTCCACTGCAGGAAGCCATGTTCTGCCGCAGTCGCTATGCGTGGAATATTGCACGAACCAGGGGACGCTTGGCCCTGTTTGTTCCTGGTATGGAGAATCCTTATTCATTTATACACCGGACAGTTACGAAGATGGTGGTGTTAGCTCCTGGACCAGGCATGCCATCCCCTATCCCGCAGGTTTTGATGGTTCATCTATATTTGGTATCCTCCCTGTGGGCAACTTGCCGATTGGCCACTTGCTATTTATCAACACTAAATTGTCACAGCAGGATTCCAGTTGCTCTATAAAAGTTTATTCTTATGATCATCACAGCGAAAAGTTCCAGAATAAATCCACCTTCTGGTACACCGCAATTACAAGTTGGGGGTTCTGCCATGGAGATGAAGCTCAGCTTTTGGGTTTGGTTGAAATGAAGAAGAAGAAGAATTTTGGGAAGTATTCGTCCTTTACATTTTGGTTTTGGTCAACAGATAAGTGGTTTGACATTTTTACCCTTGAAAAGTTGGCCACGTGGTGTGCCCGTGAGATATTCCGGGCAAAAATCAGTCGGAAAAGTGAAAAGGAACTCAAATTGATCCTTTTTTATTTGCTAAGGACTAAAATTGATCATTTTTTATCTGAGGGACTAAATTTTCACATTTGCAATATGTGAGGGACTATTTGTGCAGTTCTCCCTAATTAATATTATGGCTGACATAAGAACGAACATCAACATTTCATCATCAAAGCCCATCTATGAAAACCTCATCTCCGAAGGTTAATTCAAGCGAGGTTCAAAAAATAAATAAAACAACAAATGTCTATGTTGAATTGATGATTCCAAAACCTGAGCAGTTAACTCGAAACAGAACTTCGTAAATTCAGTCTCGCGTCCAACGACAACGGGCACTTACGCGATTGAAAAGTTCAGTTGGGTTTGTAAATTTCGGCCAGTTTATTGTCAAGCTCATTGGGCTTAAACCAACAATACTGCATAGGCCTGCTTTCTTTTTAGCCCAATAACCAGTGAAGTACTTTTTTGTTCCCCTGACACTTATTTTTTAATTCTACCGTGTAGAAAACGGGCGCCGTATAGAGTTCAAGCACAGGTCACTCACCCTCGAGTCATTTTCTTTTGGGGAGTCGGGGAGGGGCAATCGTAGCCAGCAGGGAATGCTTAATGGGTAAAAAACAAGACTGCTGAAGGATGGATCATCATCCCATGAAATTGCGGATGTCTTCTTCCGGTTCCATGTTGCAAACTGCTATTCTACCATCATCCTCCTGCATGCTTCCCCACAACACACACGTCAATAAGGCCATGACTAATAGTCTAATACATGAACTTGCGTCATCTGGTGTGTTGGTTAATACTTCCTACTTTCCACCTACGCTACGAATTTGTTTCTGCCCCATTCCAATCCAAACCATGGAATTCAATCCTCAAGAAAAGCAATGGCGCCTCTTTAAGTTCAAGCTCCAGTTCTTTTCCGTCGTTCCATTTCTGTGCATTCACCTTTCTTCTTCAGCTGTTTTAGCTCCCATTCTCCAGGATCCTTCCACTCGGCTTCAGTTTCTGTCACTTTACTTGAGAACCCCTTACCAGCAGCCCACAAAACTACTCGTTGACCTCACTGCCCCTTTCAGCTGGGTGGAATGTACCTGCAGCAACCGCTCTTCCTGTACGTACCGCTACCACCCGCTTCCCTGCGCTTCTCCTCTTTGCAACTGGCTCAATTCACCCGCTTGTTCAAACTGCTCTTCTGAACCCACCGATCCCATTTGCTCCGACGGCTTGTGCCATCTCTTCTTCGCAAGACCAAGGAACCGGAAAAGAGTGAGGGTGCAGGCACTAGCTGACTCCCTGGCACTACCCGTCACCAACGGTCGCAACCCGGGTCAGCTCGAGGTCGTCCCCGAATTTGTATTCTCATGTTCTGAGAGGTCATTACTCAAAGGCCATGTCCCCAGAGGTGTCACCGGCTTGGCAGCCCTTGGCCAGTCCAAATTCTCGCTGCCGGCCCAAGTTAGCAATTCTCTATCTTCCCCAAATGTTTTTGCTCTGTGCCCGTCGGATTCACCGTCGGCTCCGGGAGTGGCTTTTTTCGGTACTAGAGGTCCATATTTCTTTCTGCCCGATATTGACCTCTCAAAACATCTGAATTACACTCCACTCCTTATCTCAACCGACGAAGACGAAGCATACCTCATCGGCTTGACTTCCATAAGAGTCAACGGCAGAGTCGCCGTGAAACTAAACCGGAGCGTCCTGACCGTCGATGAGAATGGTTTTGGTGGGACCACGCTCAGCCTGTCAACTCCATACACCGTATTAGAGTCTTCAATCTACGCGAGTTTAGTTGAGGCGTTCGTGAACGAATCTGCAGCTGCCGCCTTCAAGCTCACCGCAACGCAGCCCGTGAGTCCATTTAGCGTGTGTTATGATGCGGGGGATGTTCTGGTAACGAGCGCTGGACCGGCAGTACCGACCATTGATCTGGTGATGCAGTCTAATGACGTAGTTTGGAGAATATTGGGATCAAATTCGATGGTTAGGATGGCGAGGGAGGGAGTAGATGTGTGGTGCTTGGCTTTATTGGACGGTGGGGCGAATCCTCCGGCGACGATTGTCATCGGGGGGCAACAGATGGTGGACAATCTACTACAGTTTGACCTGGATTCTCAGCAGCTAGGATTTAGCTCTTCGGTGTTGGTACACGATACCATGTGCGCCAACTTCAACTTCACGGTTAACACTTAACAGCAGCATATCCCTTAACTTATTAGAAATACAAGAATGAATATATGCTACTCCAGTCCACTATTAAGTCTTATCGTTGAATCGGTAAAAGATTTGGATTACGTAATTAGAAAAGTTGGAAGCCTTTAATGTACGACTGCCGCTTTAATTTCATCGATGAGGTTTACTTTATATACTAATTAATTAAAAGGCTATCTGTTTACGTAGATTGTCAATTGAGTCCAGCATCTGATCATTTGTTTATGCATCGCCCTGGTAGCCTGAATCAAGTTTTAACTAACTAGCTTTGGAATGTAAAATAGGAAGCTACGTACTTGCTTAGATGTCTTTCACCGTAATGACATGATTAGAGTTAAGAACTTTCATTAGTCCAAAACTAAATCCTCCGGTCAAACAAGGCAGACAGTACTACTAATACATTAGTATTCTACTAACACCTTACCTTTTTCTTTTTTTTTTTTTAAAGATTTCAAGAAAAAAAAAAACCTCATTTGCAGATTTGCGTAGCATGAATCCGCGTTTTGCTTGTTTTTCGCTCTTCCCTCGTGGATGCCACTGAAATTAAAAACCTTAAAATATCAATATTCAGAAATTTCGCACTGGCAATGAACCGCGTACAGCACGCTGTCCAACCCCAGATGACTCAATCCTCAGATAAAACCAATTCCCAACCACCAGCTTTTGAGCCGGTTTCCACAGCCAAAGTATTAAAGTTTAGTGTGGCTCCTATCAATTGCTACGTTAAAGTGATCTTGCTTAAAAAAAATTTAAACGGATATATAGCATATCCGTCGATTGCAGTTCAATCCACTTTGAATTATTTTTGAACCTTCTTGAGTCCGTCCCCTCCTCTAGTATAGAATAGATTAGATTATACAACAATTACCATCTTAAAAAAAAAAAGAAGATAAAACCAATTCCCAACCACAATATCATATTCTGACTTCAGAACATGAATGAAAGTAGTAGCAGAAGAAGCTGGCTAGCATTATTATTTATCCTCCACCATCTTCTTTACGCTACTATAAATGGATTTCGCTGCAATGCAACCCGTTACTCCTAGTCTTATATATTCTTAAAATCTTAGCATGCATGGGTGGCAGCGGCATGCATATTATTATTGATTTGAAGTTGAAAGCCATGCAAGCTCCAGCCTCGAAACCCCTCTCCTTCACCAACCTCCTCTCCTCCTCATTGTTATTAATCTTCATCTCCTCATCTCTCCACCCCGCCCAAGCAGACCAACCCCTCCTCACACCCATCAAAAAGGACACCTCCACCAACTTATACTCTGTCTCAGCTTACCTCAAGACCCCTCTTCAACACACCAATTTGCACCTCGACTTGGGAGCCTCCCTCACCTGGGTTGACTGCACTCGTCGCTACAACTCCTCCACTTACCGCCACGTCCTCTACAACGCCTCCCTCTGCCTTGAGCTCGACACCCGCATTTATGGCAACTGTTTCAAAAGTCCCGGTCCCTCGTGCTTCAACGACTCCTGCGAATTCTTCCCTGAGAATTCCGTGACTCGGCAGGTTGCCATAGGAGATATACTGCTCGACTCGCTTGCCTTGCCCGCCACTGACGGCCGAAACCCGGGCAAACTGGGCCTGGATTCGGATTTCGTGTTTTCTTGCGGTACAACCAAGTTGCTGAGGGGCTTGGCTAGAGGAGTCACCGGATTGGCGGCTTTAGGCAGGTTCAATTTCTCCCTGCCGGCTCAGCTCAGCCGAGCCTTCTCTTCTCCATTGATATTCGCGATTTGCTTGCCCAGTACGCCCTCCGCAAACGGCGCGGCTTTCTTCAACTCCGCTGGGCCATATTACTTCTTGCCCGGAATTGACCTTTCAAAATCGCTGATTTACACTCCCCTCCTCTTAAACCCCTACGGCGGCACCGTAATCACTTACCCTAACCGCCCATCGGATGAGTATTTCATTGGGGTGACTTCCATCAAGGTCAACGGCAATGCCGTGCCTTTAAATAAGACCCTCCTTGCCATCAATCAAGAGAATGGATTCGGCGGGACCAAGGTTACGACTTCCACGCCATACACCCTGCTGCACACCTCCATTTTCAAGGCCTTCACGGCCGCGTTTGAGCAGGAATCAGCCGCTCTCAACCTCTCCTCAATAACGCCGGTGAAGCCATTCAGTTTGTGCTACGAAGCGGACAAGATAGCCAGCACGCGCGTGGGACCGGCTGTTCCCACCATTGATCTCGTGCTGCAGAGTGATGATGTGTTTTGGAGGATCTTTGGCCCGAATTCGATGGTCAGCGTCAAAGTCAACGGTGTGAATGGCTTGTGCCTGGGTTTCGTGGATGGCGGGCCAAACCCCAGGACCTCAATCGTGATTGGAGGACATCAGATTGAAGACAATCTGCTCCAGTTTGACCTGGTTTCCAACAGGCTCGGTTTCAGCTCTTCCGTTCTGTTCCGGAGCACAACTTGCTCCAACTTCAATTTCATCACCAACAAATGACTCCAATAATTCATTCATGATGAAGCGCCCCTTTCTTTTCTTTTTTTTCTAAATATATATAATAATCTGCTGTTTTAACAATAATGTACGTGTATTTCCTCCTTTGCTGCTCGGTCAGCGTTCCTCCGTTAATGAATAATCCTATAATTAAAAAAAAAAAAGAAAAAGAACAAGACTTGTTTTGCTTTGCTCATAATTACTCGCCATTATAGAATCAGTTCTTAACTGGAGTGCTCGAGGAAGTATATAAGGTTGTTTTACTTTCAATCAAACTCTCCCATCAGATCAGCCTAATAAAGAAGACTTCGTAAACATATAGTTGCGCTATGATAGCACTGTTAAGTTACCAAGTTTCTTCCTTTTTCCTAATCAATTCCAGCCAGGAAACGAAGTTGGATCATCAATGAGTGAGTGACTGCACAGGGTATGAAAATGCAGGTAAATAAAATATATCCTCACAAATACAAAGGCATACAAATTAAGCAGATTATTCGGTAGATGGTTTGTGGTACAAAAGAAGCGACACAAATGATCAATTAAAGTTTGCCAAGATGTTTTTCAGCTCCAAGCAAATGTAAACTTTCACGGGGGCAAATCAAATTCAGACCAAAATAGAGCCCTCTGTTACAACAACTGCTTTCCCTCGCAGAAGCACTCTTTGATTCTTCTCGTCCACATGCAAATGGAGCACACCACTTCTTGGTGATGCCTGAGTCAGGAGATCGGTTCTTAATAAGTAACGGGATAAAATCCTTGATTTCTACCTCTTCTATTTCTTACTGTCCATATATTCATGTGTTCATGTTCAATGTGAAGAAAAAGGGAAAAGCAGAGAAAGAGAGAGAGAGAGAGAGAACCTGATATGCAACAAAATCGCATTTCCCAAGCTTTTTGCTCCAGTACGGTGCCAAGGCACAATGTGCACTCCCACATACAGGATCCTGAAATTTGGAAAGCAAGTCATCTGACAGGATCCCGACCATAAAATGGATTTTTTTTTTGGTTCATCAGGCATATGGAATCATGTGATTAATTCATCTACAAGAATATTTCACAAGGTTGAAACAAATAACCTCATTGATCCCATATTTTGGGCAGAAGAAGCGACTGTAGAAGTCAAATCCAGATTCAGGGGGTGCAGGTCCTGTTATAATTAGCCCTCTGCCTGGACATCTTTTGATCTCATCAAAAAGTGGTTCTGCTTCTACAACTGCCTTTCCTGATGGGAGCACAACCTACCAAAACATGACCACCATTGTCATTAGCATGTACTTTCTCAAGATTGCTCTTGGGAAATAGTTGATTAACCAAAGTTCTCGCTCTATTTTAATTGAGCATAATATCCTCAGTAGCTACATCATGTTTAAATTAGTAGTTACATCATGTTTAAATTAGTGGTTACTTGAGCATAATATCCTTAGTAGTTAAATCATGTTTGCGAAAGATAAAAGCACATAATGGTCTCTCAAAAAGAGAGGAAACTTACAAGGAGATCCTCTTCAGTAGTTGTCTTATGGATCTCGACCACTGAAGCACCATTCAAGCTTTTAGAGATTTCCGAGATCTCCGCAGAATTAGGTGCAGCAATTGGGACTACAGGGAAATCTAATTCAACAAAGTAGTCCTCTTGGATATCGCCATTTTGATGGTCCATTGAATTTGAGGTTTTGGAATCTGGCACTTTCTTGGCTGTTAAAATTCCTGATAGCGTCAGGAATTCTATCTTATCAGAATTCACCAGACCATAACTGAAGAGAAAATATGAAGCTGCTAACGTTGCATGTCCACAGAGTTTAACCTGCAAATACAGATACAGAAAATGACCAGCACTCGATGGATATCAGATATGTCTTGCTACAATGTGGAAAACTTGACTTCATGCAGTCTTCAGTAGTAGTTGCCTAATTGGAATACTTGACTTCAATATCAAAGCGCCAACTTCTTTTATTTTAGGATCTAAGATTTGGGCTGAAGGGAAAGAGATGCCCAACCACAACACAATGGCAGTACTAGTGCAAAGTACAGATGCGATTCTTTCGGTATTAACATAAAGGAAAATTTTCAAATATCAATATCCAAGACTCAACCTTGAAACTTCCGACTCAAAAGACAACGGAACAGGGGAGGACTGACCTCAGCTACTGGAGTGAACCAACGTAGTTTAAATCTGGGAGTTGTGGACTGTGAGTCAGAGTCGACAATCCGAGTGAGGTAACAAGTTTCCGAGATATTAAATTCGGTAGCAACAGATTGCATCCATTCTTCGTCCTTGTCGTCCTCTAACACACACACTGCCGCCGGGTTCCCCTTGAACGCCTGGTCCGCGAAAGCATCCACCTAAACTTACCCAATTAGACCCAATCAAATTAAGAAGGTATAAACCCTAATTCTGTGATGCGGTAATTGGAATTAAAACGCGAAAGGAGAACGCATACCACGCAGAACTTAACAGGTTTTCTGGCCATACTGCAACAGTATAGAAGCGTTTTGTACCGACTTCACCGGCCTCCTGTCCTCCAGCTAAGTGAGCTACACCACTGGAAAGGCTATACGCTTGGGAGACCGAAGATGTAGGAGAAAGTGCTAAAAGTATTATATATATACAAAATGCCACAGCACATTTTCACGTTCTTTGTCCCATTTTGGCTTTTGCGATTTGTTTCCCAAGCTGATCAATGCAAGCAGCAACTAGCAAAATTGTACTTCTCCACTAATATTCTTGCGCTACAAGCATACGACTGATTGCAATAATTTATTACTATTTCTATATAGGTGATTGTACTTCTCCACCAATAATCTTGCGCTACAAGAACACTACTGATTGCAATAATTTACTATTTACTATATAGGCAAATCCATGAAAACATGCATGATAAAATTTGGTTCCAATCTTTGATCATGTTTTATCTTAAATTCATGTAGGGGTGTGCATCGAATTCGATTTTGGTAGATCGGAACTATGAATTCGAAATTGTCGAAAATTTGATAGTTGGAAATTTCGACATTTTTAAATTATGAATTCACAAATTTCGATTTCGATTTCAATTCTAATTCATTTCGAAATTCGGCATTTTACCAAAATTAGTGAATTGAACTTATAAGTTTATAACATAATTTGCTAAATTAGATGCTATTTTTTGTTCTATACAACTAACTCAATACAAATAATAGTTAGATGTATTATTATATCATATAAATATTTTATACTACATACATGTATCAATATACATGTATATGTATATTATATATACATATTTGAATTCAAAATAGATAGTTGATTTACCGTTTTCGATTCATGAATTCAAAAGCAAAAATTTCGATTTTCTTTCCGCTTTTCGTTTTCTTCGATTTCGAAATTGCGAATTGAAATCAAAATTGGTCGGTAAATCAAATATTTTAGAAATTGCACACTCCCAAATTCATCGTATAACTCATACATAATCATTTGTTAAGGGATAAAATGGTTAAATCTCATTTGTAGTTAAATAAATAAGCTAATCTATATTTACTTTTATTGGTAAAAAAGTAGGACATGGCTTTAATTATATTTATTTTTCTCCTAAAAAGTGGAATCTGATCTTTTTTTTTATACTAAAAATAACTACATGTAAATCACGTAATAATTTTAGGGAGAAGCAAATAAGGAACAACTTTGAGCATTTCTGAACTTTCTAAGGTTGTGTTTAGATTGCATTTTCCATGATTTTTCATGGAAAAATTACTGTAGCGATTTGATGTATGTGAGGGAAAAAGATAATAGGGAAATGTGATCACGGAAAACGACGTAATTTTTCGACGAAAAACCGCAATCCAAACAAGGCCTAAGTTTTCAACATAATTTTCTCAAAATTAAGGGGGTGTAAAGCAAAATGTATGGTAAGTAAGAGAATTCTAATAAAAATTTTAGAAAGAAGTAAGTGAGAAACGACTTAAAAAATTTCAAAACTTTCCAAGTTTTAAACACAATAAAAATATTCTCCAAATTAAGGTGGTGCAACAGCAACTACGCCCCCTTAACTGCACCGCTAATGACAAAGGGCATCCAGTCGCGTCCGTTGATTGATGCGTACTTTGCCAGTTCCACTCGCCTTTGCAAAGACTATGAACCGCCGCCCCTGAACAAGGAATGCGCCAACGCAGAAGCAGTATGCTCAATGCTGTACATGGAAACATTCGGTGTCTTGGCAATTTACTTTTATTCAACTACATATAACAGCTAAGCCTGCATTATTTTCCAGTTAGTCAGTCTCTGAGGAATCTTTTGTTCAGAATCAATTTACAAGAGATACACATTTCACCTGCTATAGGCCTAAATCAAATCTACCCGCATCACGAAACAAATCATTTCAACAACATTTGAACTACAAGCACTGAGTACGTTATTTTTTGGTACAAGGGTTCAATGCCAAACTTGATCTCCATGAACTAAAAGACAATGCACAAATTTGTGCAATAATACATGATCACATAATTGGACAATGATCACGAGATCCCTTCTTTCGCCATCTTGAGAAAGTTACAAAGAGTGATGTTCGGAAGCTCAAAATCACCGGCCTTCTTCTTCCTTATTCTGGTCATTTTCAATGTCTCTGTTCCCTTTGATTGCGTCACTGTTACTGACACCAAGTTGTAGAACTGTTGAACGGGAATTTTGGGGCACAACATCAGACTCATAACTAAATACAGCAGCCGGTTAATGACAACTGCTGCTCTTTTTCTTTTAGGAAAAGAGAGCTAATTTCTTGGCAGGGTAACACCTTTAATGACAAGTTATTGTGATCAACAACTTATCAACATCTAAGGGGAAATAATAATGACTCTTCGATGCTGAGTGCAAATAGTGAGTCTTACATATTAAAGAATCAAGTGGCCAGATATACCTCACAAACACCGTGCAGCAACAACCGGCGGAAAGGATCTTGAACATTTAACTCAAGAACACCACCATCTCCAGTCTCCTTGACAAAGTCCCGGATGCACTCCTAAAACACATAAGAGGATGAGTAAATTAATACAGGAATCATAGACAACATAAAGCATGCAAATAATACAAGATCATCACGACAATAGAGTATATGTAGGGTAATAGATGATAAGAAGAGGAAGTAATTATACTCTGTCTTGTCGATCTCAAGGTTACCTCATATCCACTTATCAATTCTGGAAGAAAGCTACGACGGAAAGCTTCTCTAGTTCTACAATCAACTCTATGCCATGCAGTAAGTACAGCAACCTTGTCTGCATCACCACAACTTTTCTGTTTCATTCCTGAACCTTTGAGGGCTTCTATCATCATCGTCTACCATAAGGACAGAAAAATTTAAAAGAATCAGGCGATATTGCCATATCACAGGCCAAATTCAAAAGGTACAGGAGAATAATACCTAAACAAATAATGAAGTGTCCATATTTTTTTCCTGTCAGAGTGTGCGTGAGAGAGAGAGAGCACAAACAAGCAAAATCTGACACTAGTAAACCTTAGAATTTAGAACATTGCTAACATTTCGTATCAGGCAATATATCCTCCTCCCATCAAATTCCTCAACAACCATACTTTCCTACACCAACGCTCAATTCCAGCAAGCCATATTAAAGAAGATATACCAGCCAACACACACGCACGCGCACACACAAAAATGACAGATACAACATGAAAAATAGCAAGCAAATAAAGAAAAATAAGGAAGAAGACAATGGCATATTTAATTCAATAAGTCACGAAAATGTTAGAGAAAACATATCATCCAACACGGAGAGGTGAACCAAGGGCTAAAGGCATCCATGGTCTTTAAAGTTCATGGCTCACCCACACCTTGTTTACTGATCCCTCAACAAACACATGTACTAATTTTGTTTATCCATGCAAGAGGACTTAATGAATGTAATCTTTATGTAAGATTTAAAGTTAGCAGGAGAGAGCGTAAGTTGACTTCAACAGTGAAAGGACCAATGTAATGCAACCCAAATATCATGCAAAAATAGTTTAGAGATAATGTTCGTAATCATGTGGTAACGAGAATAATACCTCTTTATCCATATCCACGGTTCTAAATTTGTCCCATTCTCCTATATTTGTCATGCTAAATGGGGACAGTGGCACATCATCACCTGTAAGATGAAGCTAGATCAGAAATATTTACAAATTCAGGCCATATTGAATAGTAAGGAAGTTACACCAAGATGAATGCTAACAAATTAAAACTGCGAAAACATATGTATTAAACAGCTGATACAAATCATGACAAAGCTACTTCCAGAGGGTTGTCTCCTACCCCAAGGCGGTGGAGCAAACAAGCCTCTAATTTCTTCTGCATTTAGACGAGGAACGAGCTCCATTAAAAGGCGATCATTTAACCATCTTCGAGATCTCCGGTTGCTGACCTGCAACAATTTGAGAAAAATCAGGAGGAATATAGCTAAGCAGGGCTGCAATTGAACGTTCACAATTTATGAATCTGATGGCCGAAATGATAGAAAGAGAGTGGAATCAATGATTACATCATTTCAAGCATACCATTGACCGTTCAAATTTGCCATGAGATTTGAATCCTAAATTTAGAAAGATTCATGACTAGCTGCACGTCCTAGGCATCCATTCCATTAGATAATAAACAGATAAAAACATTAAACCAATTTTATCACCTGCAGTGCAATCTAACAGTCTTGAAGATAAATAATAACCTACAAATGCAAGTTGCTACTGCAAACTTAGCCATAACTATTGTTAGTAACTAGTAACTGAAGAACAACAGTATCCAAGCTAGAGATAATAGGGGAAAGATAAAATCTTGCTAAAAGCGCAGAAGAAAAAATGAGAACTTGGGAAGTTACTTTTCCAGTCAAGCTCTCCAGGAACTCGATCTTTTTCTCAATATCCGTTCCTCTGCACTTCTCATTTTCTCCTGCAATTATCCCCTATAGAAAAATCACTGATTTTTCCCCCAAAAGTATATAATACATCCCGGAAACAGAATAATGTCTGTCGGGAAGACCCAGGGAATCAAGAAAATCTAGATCAGCAAGATTTATACTGGACCAGAAAATAATTTACAAATATCCTAATATCCAAAGCTATTTAAAAACTTGCTTTAACTGGCTCAGACGATTAAAAAGAAACCCCAAAAAAAAAACCCAATAAACTGGCAGCTGACAAAATGGAAAAAGAATGATAGAAATCGTAGGACCTTTGGGGTCATCAAAGAGGGACTGCCATAAGAGAAGATCTTCTTCTCTCTGCAAAATCTGAGGGGTCGCCATAATTGATATTCTTGAAGTTGACTTTCGAGGGGCTGAGAATTAAAAATCTCTGCTTTTCCTTTGTTGAGGGCGGGCGTTTCGTTGATTCAGCTGCTCCTGTCTGACTTTCTTTATGTGGGATTGAGTAGTTTAGGAGGCAGGGTGGAGAGGAGCAGAAATCAGAATAAAAGGGGAAGGGATTCGGAGGGAGGGAGACGAAGACCAACCAAACACGGTGTTATCAGATTCTACTGGGAATATGCGTTGGTGCTCTTTGGCGGGGTCTGGGTTTGCGGCGGGGGGTTGGATTCTATAACGACAAATTGATACATTTGGCCAACAAATGCCAAAGTTGTCCTTGTTTCAGCAACTGGTAAAATGAAAAGGCAAGGTGTGAATCTTCCACCAACAAAAGATGAATGTTGTTACAAAATTTTATAATGAAAAAAAAAATTAAAGAATCATAGATTTTAACTTATCACACTTTACATTTTAAAATTCTTCAATAAATAATAAAAAAAAGCATTTGATAGCATAAAAAGTAAGAATTGCAATTTCTATAACAGGAAAGTCCTTTAATTAAATCGAATTCCAAATGATAAAATGTACCTAGTAAAGTTAAAATACGTGCTTGTACATATGCTTATAGGTCAAGTAGATTTCAGTCTAGTAATTAAAGTTGATATTTTAGGAATTAGAAATCTTGGACTCTGTCTCGCTTCTTAAATTACACTCGTCTCCTTTTACAGAACTTTAAAAAGAAAAGTTAAATAAAAAAAAAAGCTTAGAGTCAAAGGAAACAGGACAGGGGAGGTTTTTTTGTTACGGTGAGTTGAATTTACTTATGTTTGACATGCAAAAAAGTTGCAAAACGAGAACAAACACGATAATTAATTTAGGTAGTTATTGAAATTTTTGAATAGTCAAGATTTGATCAATCAACTATCAATATTCAAGATTTTACCTATTGAACTATCAAATATGTAAATTTTAGACCATCTCATCTGATTTTAATGTTAATTCTGCGAAATCTAAATGCTCGTATGATTTACGAGATATATTATTAATAGTTATGTTTGACAAAAAGTCAATGATGAAATTAGACGAAATTGTTCAAAATTTATATTTTTAATAGCCTAGTAGATAAAAATATATTATTAATAATTAAATAGCCAAAACTCAACTATTATAAAAGTTTGGTGACTACTTGGATAATTTCCTTGAACAGACAAGTAAGCGGGCACAGCCGTATTAATGGTCTAATGGGTTGGTCCCTAACATTAAATAGATGAACCGATTAAGCTCATCAGATATAAGGTGTAGTACCGGCCCAAAACAAACCTCCAATCTCCTCTTTTAATTGCAATCCCTCCCTGCATTTCATTTGTGACAACTGACAAAGGAAAGGAGCGCCAGTCAGTTGAGAAATGTACGCACAAATACAATACGTGTTTATTAAATATACATATATTTATACACTCCTATGTATTACTCTGAAATTCTCAATGGTCTCTCACTCACTGGAGACAGCATCATCTAACTAACCCCATTGCATTCCATTCCAGTCTCCAGTCCGTTGCTAGGGTTTTCTGGCCCTCGCCACTCACCTCTCTCCCGCATCTCCCGGTACGTACTACGTTTACTACATTAGGACTGTTGTTGTTTCTTCTTCTTCTTTCTTTTTTTTTTTCTCAAAACTTTTTTTTATTTTACATTTTTCTTTTTGGAATTACAGCTCTGTGTTATACTTGATTCAACAATTCGAATTCCCATTTCTTGGGATTCCCTTCTGCTTTTGCAAGTATCAGGTTTACTAGCATCTTCGCTTTTAATACTAGGATTATCTAAAGACTAGGAGGTGATTGCAATTGAAATTTTGCTTCAAAAACCAACCTTTTGTAGGGAAACCATCCTCTTTAACTCTGCTTGCATCTGCATTTGACCAAAAAAAAAATTTTTTTTTTCTAGTTTAGTTAGCTTCGTCACCTATGCACCTGGTTGTCTTGATATTCTGATGTTTTGCCTTACGACGAAGTACGACCCACAAATATTTACGGTTATTGGATGATTACTGATACCGCAATTTAACTTCTTTTTACAGCTTTTCTTCTCCACTTAAGCAAGTATTTTCTTCCTTGGATTGGAGACAATGGAAGATGAGAGTAATTGCAATGCCTTCCCCTTTACTACCACGACATTAGCCTTTGGTGGCCGGGGGAGCAGCTCCAGCAATAATCACAATGTTTATTATATGCAAGAAGAAGCTGATCATAGCCACTACCTCAACTTTGCAGCCGCAGCAGCTGCTAGCAACGACACCACTCCTCATCATGCTCCTACCACTTTACCCTCCTGGCTTTGCTGCCAGCCAACACCCCAGAATTATGTTCATTTTCTCGCAGAAAATGGGGCCTCCCAAGTCCATAACGAAATACTACCATTCAACAATTCACCTGGATCGTCTGGTTTTACAACCCCTGAGGCTTCTTTTGACATGGTTGTTTACAAGGTAGAGTTACAAACTCCAATGCTTTACCTTCATACTCTCTCTCTCTCTCTCTTAAATGGAGTATTTCCCTTGCTTATTCTGGGCATCATGACACGCCCACACACACAACTCTTTAACAATTGTTTCTCCGTCGTATTTAATTTTCTCAAACACTTCACTTCGTAACTGATGAAAATGGTGCTGATGTTCTGTTTTCTTCAACTGTTCAAATGACAGAGGCCGCACACTGAAGGAGTACCTCCGAGTAACTTAACAGTCTTAGGATTTCAAATTCCCTCTCAGGTCAAGTTTCTAGAGTTATTTCTCTCTGAAAACTTGTGTTGAACTTTTAATAGACCTTAACAAAACAAGTTTTGCTGATGCAAGCAGAATTCAAATGAAAGTTATGGCACTGCTGTGACTGGTTCTCCTTCCACAGTTCCTAGCAGCACATCAAGACAGAAAGCCGCTACCGCTGATCGTGTGAGCTTCAAATCTCTTAACCAACTGTATTTTACAAGCAAGCTAGTTGTTCCGTTGACCTGTGTGCTTAGCAGCATTCTATTATGTCTCTTGATAGTTCTTTAACTTCTTTTTAGGAATTTTATTTCTCCATAGTACTATAATTCTTCCATTTGGCCTTGTGGATCCCGAGTTAGCAACTTATCTTCGTCGCTGGCTTTTTATGCAGCGTCGCAGGTTGAGGATTTCTGAGGGAGTTGAGGCGTTACAGGAGCTCCTTCCACATCCAAGAGAGGTAATACATTTTATTGATCTGGACCAAGGAGCAAAGGAAAAAGCCTTCATAAATGTTGTTGAAACTTTTTGTTTGAAGTATGGCAGAATATATATATATCTATCAAGAAGTTGTAGCTTTGGCACATGATGGGTGCTTAACCACTGCAGACATTGGCTTCTGTAGCGACCATTGACCGCCTTTTAACATCTTGCTGAGCAGTGTTTTTCTGGTCCTAACTACATGATTTTCACATGGCCTGCCCACTTCCTGCTGCATGAAACACATGGATTGTTGCCTGTCGTTAAAATAAATTGTTTCTCTTGGTTTTGCAGGGTGGCAAGGCGTCTGTACTGGATGATATTATTGATCATATAAAGTATTTACAATTTCAAGTAAAGGTATATCTGCGTCTATCATTTGTTTCTTAGTAGAACATTGCATATTGCATAGCTCAGATGTCTGCTGATGTAAGTCCAATAAATAATCCACTGAATCTTGTGATGCACAAAATCTGCATTGGCCTGCTTTTAGTTGTTTTACAAGGTTGGCTTTCAGATACAGAGTCTGGTGCTTTCTAAAAACAGGTAGTTTTCCAAAAGCTGCGGAACATGAGATAATAGTTCAAATGGTGTTTGTGGAAATAATTACAGCTAGCGACAATAATTGTTTATCTGCAGTATTTGGATAGAGTGGTTTGCCTCTTGTTTCTGCTAATCCTGAAGAATTGAAGATGCTCAATATTATGATTATGAGATTAGATGCCACCGAATGGTTCTTGCATTGTTTGAAAGAGTTTATTTAGATTATTTGGTTCATCGTCGAGGATTGGAGGATCTCTTCATGCCATGTGGGGTGTCTTCAAATTTGAGATTCTCTTTAGTATGCTATAATATGCTTGCACTAAACTACCATTAAATTTCTGCCAATGGCAGATTTAGTGCCAGGTTTTCTCTGTTTTTTTTTTTAAATAATTAATTATGCAAGTGTTTATGAACTAGCCCTTGCCCAAATTTGACCTGCGCAGGAACTGAGTCAAAGCAGGTTGGGAGGAGAATCATCTTCAACTCCATTCATACTGCTTGAGGTATGTTCCTGCATCCACCTAGCTAAAATCTAAAAAACATATATAATGATGTGTAAGGATGGCATGTCATTCTTGCTATGTGCAGGGTTATGGCCATTTCCTTCTTCGTGACCAGATGCAGAATGAACCTCTGGAAGAGATGATGGGGAGGCTGCTGGAGGTGAATCCATTGGCTGCAACACAGCTGTTGGAGAGCGGAGGCCTTATTGTGATGCCAATGTCTTTGGCTGAGGGGTTACGCCCCCAAAACTAGAATCTCCACACGCAGGACCACCTGTAATTTTCGACATGTAGTTGGCACTCCAATTTCTTTGTTTTGGTGTACACCCCTAATCACCACCAGCCCCTCCAAGAATCAAAGAAGATCGAAGTCAGACATCTTATACTGCCACACGGTTGGCGACGCAGAATCCTTGAAGGCAATTGCTTACTAAGCAAAGTTGAGATTGGTTGATTATCTGATGGAAGCTATATGTTAAACCGTATTATGCTTTTAGTCTTGGTCAGTGCTTTGACAGTATCTGCTAATTCATATCTTATAGTAAACAAAGTTGGAGCTATGCTCTTTCTGTCACTATCTTCATCACCGTATTGCCTTCCTGTTTCCGGGCACGCTTACCGCAGCTTAAAAGAAGCATTACCCTCGTCTCTCTCCCCTTCTTCAGAATGCTCCTAAAGTTTCTAGGCAATAATAATGTCTTTTTCCTTTCAGATAGATAATTACGCATTCATCTGCATTCGGGGTTGCACGTTTGCTGTTTAGAACGTTTATAACGTTAATAAGTACTAGGATCGAAGGGTCAAGTAATAAAACAAGAAAGTTATTGGCTGATAGGGCTGGGGATTCAATAGTTGGTTGGCGGAAAAGAGTGCTCGGGGCGTGGAGTGGAGTCGAAAGCTTCACGCTAGGCCTTCCCCGCGGAAGGGAATGGATTCAAATCTTCGCTTTTGGGCCGATGATGGTTCATATGTCGGACTCCGTCTGTGGTTGACCTGAGTTTTCAACGGGAAAGAATTCTGTGCCTGTGGTTGCACTTGCAACAGTAGTGAATCACGAAACTTGGTCTGGGCTACCAAAAAGAAAACCATGTGTGAAGGAAACCAGATGGCGCGGCTTGAGGCCCCCAGAATGGCCAACTGAAAAAGAATGGAGAGACCAAAAGCAGCTGCATTTGGGAAAAATGGCTAATTTCGTCCCTAAATTTTTTATGGGTAAAAAATAAAAAAGCCCCCTGTGGTAAGTCTAATACACAGAAAAGCCCCCTATGGTTTCAAAATATACAACACGATACCTCATGCTTTGAACTAAATTGTAAAGGTGACGGAATCCGTTAAATTTAACGGAAATGACTTATTGGAACCTAAAAAAAAAATTTTATACTTAATTTTTATCAAATATACCTATTCTACCCCTTAACCCTCAATTCTCTCTATTTAGAGAATAAAACAAATGATTTTTTTGAGCTGTCTTTTGCTTAATTATATCAGGGTATTTTGGTCATTTTGTCCATTTCCGTTAACTTTAACGGATTCTGTCACCTTTACAATTTAGTTCAAAGCATGAGGGGTCGTGTTGTATATTTTGAAACCATGGGGGGCTTTTCTGTGTATTAGGTTTATCACAGGGGGCTTTTTTGTTTTTTACCCATTTTTTATTAGTATCGATTTAGTCCTTGACTTTTATTTCTGACTAATTTGATACTTGAACTTATCTCGCAGTTCTAATTAAGGGCTTTCGCGGTGGCACCACTACCTAAAATTGATTTGACTCCTAATTGACTAATTAAACAGGAGTATTATCACGAGAATGTAATAAAACAAGTAAATGGTATAACAAAATCACCAAATAAAACTTTTAAATCGTGTAAAAAATCACTAGATAAAACTTTTTTAAAGTTTGATATTGTGATTTTTTACACAATTTACTTAATTTTTTATAACCCCATAAGTGATGTTTCTAAAATACACTTCTTTAACTGGTCAATTAAGAGCTAAATTAGTTTTAGGTGGTGAAGCCGCCACAGGAGTCCTTAATTGGAAATGCAAAATAAGTTCACATATCAAATTGGCTAGGAATAAAAGTTAGGAACTAAATCAACACTAATAAAAAGTTTAGAGATGAAATTGTCTATTTTCCCCAGCATCTGTGTGGAATTTCAACTACACATTGGCAGATAGCTCAGAGAGATCACGAAGAAAGGAGCTTATTTTGATCCGCATTCCACTCCACACCAAAAAATGGGGACAAAAAGGACAAGAAAAAGTCAAACACAGAGGATAAATAGGGTGGCCACTAGTTGGACCAAGTCTCACGCTCTCCACTCTCCAAAAGGATAGAAGCTTTGGGCTAATTCCTTAAAATATACGTATAAAAAAAAATTATCCGTCAAATGCATGTCTGATTGAGGTGCTTTCTTATTCTATACGGGCCGTGCTGACTCAGCACGACCGAATCACAAAAAAATCTATCCGGTCAACATCCAATTTGGGTTGAGCATTTGTGTCAGCGGACGTGCTGACTGGGCACGTCCGCACCTGACACAAACCTGACACAAACCTGTTTGTGTCAGGTGCGGACGTGCCCAGTCGGCACGTCTCGCTGCTCTCGCTTTCTCTGTCTCATGTATAGCATAGCAGCTCCTCCTCCTGCTTGCATTCGTTCCTTCAGTTTGGCTTCGGATTCGGTGAAAGCAGCCACTGCTTGGCTTCGTTCCTTCTATCAGGTGCGGAGTCGTTGAAAGCAGCCCGTGGTTAGTCAGTTTTGCTGAAGACAGAGACGATGAAGGCTTGAAAAAATTTGTTGGCCGAAACTTTATTTAATAGGGTGGTAGTAGTACAACTTCTGTTCGTTAATTTTGATAGGTTGCAGAAAGTATACTCAGGCAGCTCCATCAGGTTCATCTGTGCTTCGTCACCTTGATTAGTTAATTTTTAAAAAATTGAGATTGAATGGTGGATAATAATATTAATTTGTATTATGTTAATTAAACATGTTAAGTAATTATGTTCATTATTTATATTATGTTAATTAAACATGTTAAGTAATTATGTTAATTATTTATATTATGTTAATTAAACATGTTAAATAATTATGTTAATTATTTATATTATGTTAATTATTTATGTATTTACATGTTATATTATACTGTCATCAAATGACATTAATTAAACTTGTTTTCTGCATTGTGTGTTGTTGTTATAGTTTATTAATTAATAGTTAATGTAAGGTGTGATAATTTATTTATAATTTTACAATATTGAAGTGTTAAAAAAGAGTTAACTAGTGTATATAGTGATATAGTGTTGTCGACTACGACTTATTGTTTAATCGTATAATTTTTGGCGAATTACTATGTAATATAATTCATATAGGAATACTAGAAATATCTAATTAAAATTATTGCTTTTTACATGCATAAAATATATTAATTAACTAAACATAAGAAATTTTTGGATTGCATAAAAAAATGAAGTAATATGCAAATATTAATAAAAAAAATTTTGGATTGATATTGATGTAGATGAATATTTCATGTACGTAGTAGGACTTTTGTAAGATATCATATATGCTGCGTGCAAGGTAAAAAAATAGTTAAAATAATTATCCAAAATATAGTTAAAAATGTAGTTAAAATATAGTAAAAATATAGATGCAAAAATGTTGTCTCGAAAAAATAATTATCCGAATTGGTTGTATTATTATGTATGCCAATCACAATCACAAAGCGATTATAATAATTAATTTCTGTTTATTAGAATACATGAATCGTTCGTTAATTAACAACTATTATGCATTTAATAATAATTTAATAATAATACATGTGGAAAAGACATCTAGGGACATGAATCATGAGGTTAGGTTAATGTATTTATTTTAAATATTAATGAAATGAAGTATATTTGGGATTATGATTAAAATTTAGTTTAATCAGGTTAATTTGAAAATTAAAGTACAAAATTTAAAGTACCAAATTAAAGTACCCTAACTCTAAAAATCCTAAAGCCTAAAACTTTTTTTTTTTTAAATGTTGTGCGAGAGACCTTTGTGTTAGCACACCTGACACAAAGTCAGGTGCGGACGTGCTGACTGCTGCTGACACAAATGCTCAGCCCAAATTGGATGTTGACCGGGTAGATTTTTTTGTGATTCGGCCGTGCTGAGTCAGCACGGCCCGTATAGAATAAGAAAGTCCTTCAGTCAGACGTGCATTTGACGGATAATTTTTTTTTATACGTATATTTTAAGGAATTAGCCGAAGCTTTGCCTTTGCGGGAAGTTTCATTGAACCATTTGTTGCTTAAGGACATCATTTGTTTCAAAGGTGTCCGGAACCTCAATTTTCCAATGGCCGGTCAGTGATGTGGGGATGCTCATCGTCTATGTCAAACCAGTTGTCAAGCACTCGGGATTTAATCAGCAAGAGCTAGGCTATATATATATATATAGACTTTTTTATTTATATTATTATAATAAAATATTTTAAAAATATCTTTAAAAACAGCTAATCCAACCAAAAACCATCGAAACAGCGGCCTTTTAGGAAGGAGATGCAGCGATATGACATGACAGGATGATTGTCACAATGAAAAGTACAACCTTTTGTCCTCCGATGGTACACCACCACCTCCTCCAACCGCCCCTTCTCACAATGACTGCGACCCAGGAGAACATTTTTTGAGTTTGTTTGGATAAGAATTTATTTGGATGATTTATTTGAGATATTTACTATAACACTTTTTGTGATGTGATGTATGTGAGATAAAAAGGTGATTGATAAGATAAAAAGGTGATTGGAATTTGTGAAAACAAATTTTGCAAACCAAATTATCTTTGTCCAAACAAACTCACTTTCTTTCCCTCTTCCCTCTTCTTTTCTCACTTCCCACAGGCCTCCGCCCCCACCCCTTCCCCCCCCTCCCCCAAAAATCACCGAGGGTCGTCGCCCTTTTATGAGTTTATCTGATAATTTCTCTCAAAAATATCTTCTTTTTTTTTGTCAGCAATGATACATTTGTATAACATACTTTATCCTAATTTAGGGGGAGGGGGAGCGTAAGGAGGTTGTGGTTGGGGGTTAGTGGGTATACAGATCCAACCCTTATATTTTTTTCGCTGCACATGAAATTTGAACCCTCACCTACAGTCCAAGAAGAGACTTAAACCCCTCTCTGATGGCCACTGAGCCATTGGCCCAGTGGTTCCCTCAAAAACATCTTCGTTTCCCAATATTTTCACCAGACGGATTACTTTTGGTCGCTCCTGGATTTTTGTCAATAACTACTTGGCTGAGCTATGTGGACCGGTGCTTATTTCGAAGGAAATTTTGTAAATTGATAAATGTAAAATAGTTCTAGTAAGACTTGAAGAAGGATCCGTTCTTGTGAGCTTCACTTTTCTTTTTTCTTTTTTTTTCTCTATGCTAAAAAGTAGAGTATGAAAAGTGATTCCGAAAGTTGTTTGAAATTTTGAGCGCATCTATTTCTTGACTTCCAAGTTGGAAAAACGAAAAGTTGCTTCCCCGAGAGCGAATTTTTTCTTTTTCTTTTTCTTTTTTTATTAATGACTGAGCATCTTCTGATTTTGACATTTTAAAATACTAGACAAATTAGTCAAAGAACATCTGCAGATACCTTAAGATTTTGAAAAAAATTATTCTAATAATTGATACTAGACTGTGAGTAAACTAGAAGAAGACGAGCTGTTCATTAGGTGAATTTTTGTTTCTTCAAGTCTATTGGTATTTGGCAGTAGTTGTCACAATACTATTATACTGATAATAATAATATAACACAAGATAATTGACGGAAAATCATTTGCTCACGCACGATTGCAACTCCCACTTGCACACGGAATCGAATCGAAGGTAAGTTGATACTAGGAAGGGACCCATCCATCACCATCAACTAGTCCCTGTTTTTCAATTTGCCATCTGTCAGAATCAACTTTTTAGCGGATTTTTTGGTCGTTAACGATAATATCTATATAATCTAATCTATCTTATTCTATAAAAAGGAGGATCAATAAAAGGGACTAACAAATATATAAATCTGACTAGAAAGGAGACTCAGTAAAAGTAGGCATGGCCATGGTTTCACTTGGAACCGGGAACCGGACCGGAACCGAACCGTTTGGAATCGGACCAGAACCGGAACCAGAACCGTGGAACCAGAACCGTAGTAGAACCTTGGATAAAGGTTCCGGTTCTGGTTCTCTAAAAAATAGAACCAGAACCAGAACCGCCGGTTCCAGAACCGTTAAAAAATTTAAAAATAATTAATATAAAAAATAATAAAAGTAAAGACATCATGATGACCTTGGTCACCATGATGCCACCACAATTTTTGCTCTCGGGGGCTCCTCCTGACTTGCACAAAGGTCCTCAGGCTCTCAACGGAAGAAAGAAACAAAGCAAAGGATAGAAAAAAAACAAGAAAGGTGGCTGCCTGCTAAATTTGACAAATTGGGGGTTAGGGTGAATTACAAGTTTACAATGTTACAATTCAACGTTGTAATTTTGTCCAAATTTTCAATACAACGTTACAAATTTGGAACGTTACAATACAACGTTCCAAATTTTTAATTTCATTTTGTCCTATAAATAAGACTTGAAATTTTATTTTCTACTACACCAAAATCAATCTTCTCTCTTCCATCTCTAAACTACTCTCAATTTCTTCATCTATTATCTATTTATTATTTCGTACTTTGTAGAATAATAATAAAATTAAAATATGATATTTATTTTGTATTTATTTTTTTACATTTTATTTAAAATTTTAAATATATTGTTATATTCGTATTAAAATTGGTAAGGATAAGAAATCAAATAAAATTGTATATAACCATACGGAACCGGAACCAGAACCAGAACCATAAGGAATCGAAATCAGAACTATGCGGTTCTGGTTCTACTTTTTTGAAGAACCAGAACCGCCGGTTCTGGAACCAGAACCAGAACCATCTTATATGGTGCGGTTCTGGTTCTACCCCTTTGAAGAACCAGAACCGGCGGTTCTGGAACCGTGGCCATGCCTAAGTAAAAGGAAATGTTCTGACAACCTTTTTAAAATTTTTTTATTACTAATAATGTGATATTCGAATATCCGACCTACCGCTCCCGACTTTGGTGGCCACTAGCTTTGGCTCATTGGTTGACTTTTTGGCAGATAAGGTTGGTCAACTTTAAGGTTGATTCAGAAAAGATAAGAGAAGGGTTCCATTACGCCAGTAAAAAGGTGGATCGGGATTCCGACTTCCATTAATTACGCATCAGGAGCAATTAGAGTTTTAGTAGTAGTACTAGTGAGTTACAGTAATCTAACGATCATGCTCCTCCTCATTTCGCGGTAATTAATTAAGAGTTTCCAAAATTGTAATAGCTGGTTAGCTAGCCCCCCCGTTTCTCCTTGCATATTGGAGCTTCTACTTCATTTCAAAGCAACGCATTAATGTGATCGAATTTCTACTAAAAAAAGCATATTTATATTTTTTATTTGCTTTGGCCGTTTTTCGACCCTAGGAAAAAAAAAGAAGGGATTATCGTGTCTCTTGAATCAAAAGAAAAGTTGAAGAGATGTATTTTATATCATCTTTTTTTTTTAACAACTTAGTTGAAAACGTGGAGTGTGTTTGGATTATAAATTATTTGAGATAATTTTGTGAAAAAGTACTGTAGCACTTTTTTGATATGATATATGTGAGATAAAAAGGTGATTGAAAAATGTGTTGATGATGCAAGCAAATCAGTGTGTGTAAATAAGATGTAAATAAAGTGAAATAACGCACAATCTAGCGACCTGTCCAGCAAATAAAAGCAACTCTGTGTATGGAGAAGTTTTATGCAGAGAAAAAACTAGAATTAAATCCGAATAATGCTCCTTTTCTTTTAGTCTTACCATCATATCCTTACCACAATCATGAAAAATGGAAGTATCGATCCCACCCACTGTAGAGCTTTTGAAAGGAATCTCCGTTGCTTTACTTCTTGGAGAAACACAGAATCGAGTTTCTATTTCTGTACGAAAACTAATGAATCCGCAAATGACAATTTATAATATTTTGTGATGAGATTCTTTATGGTCAAGGAAACAGAAGATCAACAAGTAAATTCTCGGGTAGTTTTAAAAGGAGAGTTCTTAGATAGCGCGAATTGTAAAACATCGTATTTATTAAATATATTCGTTAATTAAAAAAAAACCCGGGCAGATAGAACAATGATGCATTGTGAATGTGTTTTTTTTTTTTTTGAGGAAACAATCCATTTACTAAATTCATTTTTTTATCATTTGGGAAGATGTTTGAAAACCAAGTACTATCTTTTAGAAATTGATTTTGAAAAATCCCACCTTTTGAGATTTTACTCGAAGATGAACGAATTAAGTTAGATGCTCGATCAAATCGGAACTACACTCTTAAAAACTCCTTAAATTCTGTTTGATCGTTGCTAAATTTGCAAGCAAATGAGAATTTTGAAATTTCAAGATATCTCCAACCATACGAACTTCATTCAAGACACTCGGTGTTTATGACATTTGTGAAACAGAAAAGAGAGTGAGTAGTTCTTGACAGAAGCTGGCTTTCATAGTACAAGAAAAGATCAGACTATAAGCTAGGAATTAATCACAGTAAGTATCTGGGACGAATGTTGCAGATGAGCTTAAGCATGATTACTGATTAGTTAAGTTGAGGGTCAGAGTCCAGTCCACCATAAATATTCCACCAGGTGTGTCAGTTTGGTATTTGCTGCTTGACGCGGGAAGCCAAAGTCACAGGGCGACTGACGTTGGAGAATATATATAGCCTGATAGGGATATGCTTAACTTTGTTGCTAGGCATGTTAATGGGTCGGGTCTTATCCAAACTAACTCAGATCTAATATATCTAGGTAGGGTTTGGATTTAATTTCTCAAATTCAGATCCTATCCAGACCCAGACTCAGACCCTGTAAGAGAGTCGTGGGTCTGGGTAGGGTCTGATTTTCTAGAATTCATATTAAATCCAGATCCATACCAGGCATTACTCAAACCCATATATATTTTAATTAAATAATATATATTAGTAAATTTATAAAATAATATAATATTTTATAGCTATTGGATCGAATACAGTAAGATTTTATAGTATCAGAATTTGCATTTAGTGTTGGTAGTTAGGTGATTGATGAAACTCGTGCCAAATTGCTTCTAGATGTGGTTGAAACATTAATGATTACTGATGATTGAATTGAATAAAAAAAAATGAGTAAGTGTTTATAAATTTTCTTATTCTATTATTTATTTGCCATCGGTCCTTAGTCAAATGACTTTTATATCATTCAGTCTTTTAGTGCTGGATTGCGAGACATTTACCAACATTGAGGTTTAAATAAGAAAAGAGGTAAAAAATTACATTTCTTTAATAAGACTAAATATTTTATATATGTTATGGTTGTTTTCTTTTTTAAAAACTAATCTTAGTTGTCATTGTAATTGGTACCAACTTTTTCAAGAAAATGAGAAAAGGTAAAGACAAACAAATAAAATATCGGATGTGTATGCAGTTGAATCTTTTAAAATATATAGAAATAGTTAATAATAATTCTTTCTTTGAGTTCACAGTATTACATTCAACTTGTTGAATGTTAATTTTATTATTTGAAAACAAAAATTGGATGGTATTTATATTATTTATGAATTCTATATATTTTAATTACATTTTTACTTTAATATGTTCAGAAAACACGCATGGATACCCATTGGGTACCTAAATCCATAAAGGTTTGAGCATGAACTTACCTTTTCAGATCTAAAAGGGTCTGAATTTAGGTTTGAGTCTAATTAAATTAAATGGGTTTGAATCTGACCCAACCCAAACCCTATCAATTGACATGCCTATTTTGTGGCTAATCTTTGGCTCCTTTTTCTCCTCTTCGGTTTCGCGCATATATACCTGAAATCTTCTTCGCATTACGCCTATTTATAGATTGATTGATATCTAGCCTTGTTTTTCATCTTACCGGCGCCTTCTCCTCCATATCAATTAGTGCTACTGTTTCTAGTGGGGGCTGACGGCTGAGGGGAGCAACAAAACAATTGTCACTACTTTCCTATATATGGCATAAGATAAGCTGCCTATCAACTACCGTCCCCTGACCCTCCCCACCACATTTTTGAGGCGCCGCGTCACTTGATATGTATATATATATATATACGTATATAATGCGACATCAACTGATCCGAATGCTAGGAAGGATTATTCATCGCATATAGTCTGGTCTTCTGGCTTTGTTTTCTGCGTCTGCATAATTTAATTTCTCATCCCCGATCAATCTCCACTGTACCATCTGTATAAATAGTTACACAATGACGATGAGCTCAATGTCGATGCTGAATCCAAAGCCGCCACCTTTACGGCGCCTTCCTACCAGTGCCAGTGGTGGGCTTGACATGCAACTCCTCATCCATCAGCGGCCGCAGCGGTTAGACAATGTTGTGGTGGTCATGGGAGCTACCGGCACCGGCAAATCAAGACTCTCCATCGACCTCGCCACCCGTTTCCCTGCTGAAATTGTGAACTCCGACAAAATGCAAGTATACAGAGGGCTTGACATTGTCACCAATAAAATCACTGATGACGAGCGTCGCGGGGTCCCGCACCACCTGCTAGGAGTGATCGATCCTAATGCGGATTTTACTGCTACAAGTTTCTGCAGCAAGGCTTCGGCCGTCACCAAATCTATAGTCGGCCGGGGCAAGCTTCCAATCATCGTGGGGGGCTCCAATTCTTTTGTGGAGACCCTGATCGAAGGTGGTGAGGGCCGGTCGAGATACAATTGTTGCTTTCTCTGGGTGGACGTGTCATTGCCCGTGCTACATTCCTTCGTATCCGAGCGAGTGGATCGGATGGTTGAGAAAGGAATGGTGGATGAGATAAGGGAAATTTTCAACCCGGATAGTTGCGATTACTCGAGAGGCATTAAAAGATCAATTGGGGTGGCTGAATTCGATCGGTACTTTCGAGCTAAACCATTTTGCGAGGCCAGGCTGCGAGAGGAAGCCATAAATCAGACCAAGGCTAACACGTGCAAACTGGCCTGTCGCCAACTGGATAAAATCATTCGACTGAGAAATGTGAAGGGATGGAAAATCCACCGGCTAGATGCTACCGCAGCGTTCAGAAAACGTGGCGAAGAAGCGGATAAAGAGTGGGAGAATCTTGTGGTGGGTCCCAGCACGAAAATCGTCTCTAGATTCCTGTACAACCATGCCACCGTCACAAGTGCGCAGGTGAGGTTGGGGGTGGGGAAGGCGGTGCCGGTGGCAGCTGCTGCAACTCACCAGAGAACGAGTTGCACTGTTATTAACTTATAATCATGCGGTGCCGGTGGCAACTATGCTACATGATGCAGCAAAGTTTTGGCGATGTTGATGTCTGCTGAATTAAGTAGTAGCCGCAGTAGTAGTAGTAGCCATTTTCGTCTAGTGACCACACCTGACAGTTTGAGTGTTGACACTGCACTGCACTAGTAGTAGTAGTATGATATCATCGTCTTTTCGGTTTAGGTCACATCTGTACACTACAGGATTTATCATCTTGCCCCTGTAATACACTAATACTTTGCAGTAGCGTCAAATAATCGAGCCCTGCTGTCCACCTCTCTGCCCATTGACTGGGCTGTAATATGAGATCGCTTGTTCTCTATGGTTGTGTGATGAAGAGGAGAAAATATTGCTGGTTATACAAGGTCAGTTAATTAATACAGTACTACTACCTCCAATTTTTCTTTTGTGAAAAAATAAATAAATGCTAGCTTTGTCTCAGGAGTGGTTATTCTATTGTTTGCTCCGCGAAGGGAAAATATTATTGAGGACACGACATGGATGGGGTTAGGATCTCTCCGTTGAAATTCTCTCCATTTATTCATATCCAAATTTATATAACATTATACAATTATACGATTGTGTCATTACTTTTCTTTTGATCTTTAAATCAATATGTTAAGAAATCTTTTTTTTTTTCTTTTTGAGAATGTTTCGACATTTGAATGGTGAAATATGGGTCAAAATTTGCAATGATTAATCAAACGCAAAACTCGGTCAATTCATATGAAATTTTGTGTATAACTAACACAAGTAATAAAATAAATTATAAACTCGCTTTTCAAAAATTAACAGCTAGAGTTGCTTTTCAAAAATAGTTTTTAAATTAATTTTATTAGGATGTAATGAAGAGAATATATTGGAGAGGAGCCTAACCTCACTTGGATGAACCCAATGTTGTGTATTGATATCATCTTGTCCTCAGTTGGCTATCAGAGGAGACTCCCTGGGGGCGCCGAAGAAATATAGGGCCTGTTTGGAACGTGAATTTTTTGGGAGTTTATCTAAAATTTTATTGTAGTACACTGTAGAAGTTTTTGAAAAAATTTGTGTAGAAATTTTTGTAAGATGAAAATTTTTTTTGTAGAAGTTTTTGTAATGTGAAAAATTTTGTAGAAGTTTTTAAGGAGAAAAACTTTTTTTTTTTCTCTTTCTCTTTTTCTTCTTCTTCTTCTTCCCCGTTACCAGCCCCCCTCCCAGCAGCAACGCAGCACCCCTACCCCTCCCCTTCCCTTTCCTTCCCCTGCCACTCCTCTTCTCCCTCCCCCGCCACCCCCTCTACCCGCCACCCCTTTTTCTCCTCCCCTCACCCATCCCCGTCACCCTTAGCAGCCCCGTCGCCCTCCCTTAGTTGCGACCTGGTCGCGCGACCAGATCGCAGCCCCCCTCCCCTCCACTTTTGCGATCTGGTCACGGGACCAGATCTGGTCGCGGGAGGGGGAGGGTTGCGAGGGAGGGAAGAAAAAAAAAAAAGAGGAAGGTAGTCAAACTGGATAAAGGGGGAGGATGGCAGGGAGAGGGAGAAAGGCCAAAAAAAAAAGGAAATGGCGCGGGAGGTGGTGGTGGTCGGCGATGGAGGTGGTGGACGGGTTGGGATAGTGAAGGAAGAAGAAAGCCAAAGGGAAGGGAATTTTTTTTATGTGTGTTTTGTGTATTGGGTTGGGATGGTGGAGGAATTTGTGTGTGTTTTGTGTATTTTGAAGTGTGTAGGTAAAAAACTTTGAGAAGTTTTTTGAGGTTCCTGTAGCAAAAATTGTTAAAAAACTTGCCCAAAAAACTAGCTTCCAAACAGGCCAATAGTCAAAGGTTATTTAGCTTCTTTCGAATCTCTTAATAGATTAGATTAGATTAGATAGTTCCATTACTCTTTCCTTTTCCCAGTACAAGACTAATTGTACCAATATCTTGTCTGGCTTACAATTAATGTCATCCATGCTAAGAGTGGCATTTTTCTAGCCTATTCTTCGAGAAAATAGTACTCGTGACATTTAATGCGTGTTCCTCGATAACTCAAATTCAACTAGGACTGCTCACGGCTAGGATTTAATGCGTGTTCCTCGATAACTCAAATTCAACTAGGACTGCTCACGGCTAGGACAACCCAAATTTGGTCTGATCAACCCGATTGTTAGGACCAAGTCCTGTATATTATTGGGTTGAACAGAGTTTATGTTTTAACATGAGGCCTGATTAATTCACAAAGGTTTAATGAGACTCAACCCGATTGAAACCTAACCCGACCAATTAAGGATATGAGCATTTTTTTTTAATTTATAATGATGTATATTATTTAATAATTATAAGTATAATAACGTGCAGAATTTATATCTACATTTGACGATAGAAATAAATGAATATTATATACGTATTATATATAATTTTGAATTAAGCGCGAGTTTGAGTAAAGTCTGAATTAAGCGCGAGTTGGGCATGAGTCTTAGATATTGGACACGAAACCTGAACTCAAAAGTCCGAAAATTCTATTTTATTTTATGAGTCGAGATTAAACTTTTCGAAACCCAACTTCCGGCATCCTAATGATTTGAACGCGACTCACTACTATCCTCGCCCTATGCCCTCATCGTGCTAGTTGGTAATGGTTTTTGGAAGAAATAATGAACTCAATGACAAATCCATCAGATGCTCAGCATTAGTCAGAGGAATCGCAATGGAATTTCAGGGCCCAGACTCAACAAGTGGTGGTGCTCCTGTGGCTAGCGAAGATTTTTTCCAGGCGCTGCTACTGCTGCTGCTGCTGCTGTATTATTCATTTGTTTCTGTTCAATCATAGCAGTAGAATTTGTAGGTTGCCGGGGTCCCAAGTGCAAGTCCCTTTGCTTGCTTCCTTAGTAGTAGTAAGTAAAATGACGGCTCAACTAATGAGACGATGAGTAGCTAGTAGTCGGACAGTGAAAGCAACGTAGTATCCCAAATGCATGAGAGGACTCGCGCCTGCGTACGTATGCATTTGCATTTGCCCGTGGAACGAACATGCGCGATGTGATTGATAAATCATCATTTCATTTCATGTTTACTCACTCTTAATTTTATGTTGCCTTTGATATCATACCAACTTTCTGCTGCTCAAACGCCGCCCGTGTGTGCGGGAGATTGGATTAGAGAGCCAGAGTAAATCTGTCATCTTGGAAAAGTTAAATAATCTAACGTGGAGCACTCTGAAGTCTGAACTCTCATCCAATCAAGCTTTTCTTTCTTTCGTTTTATGTGATCTAATGCGATCAGTCCTGCTCATAAAAGTGGCCAGTTGAACGTGAAGTCTGCTAACAATCCAAAAGTTAACTAAGTTTAGTACCACTTAATTTGGGCTGAACAATGCCTTTGAAGTCATCTTCATGTAAACAGAGCCAGCTTTCTTACGAAATTGTGCAATTTGTCTATGGAGCCACGCACCGTCCTTTTCTTCCTAATAGATAACGTTGCGCAAAAAAACTGTCATAAAAGTGACCATAGTTCCTAGGTTTCAATCAAGGCCATTTGTTGGTCCCAGGAAATTCTGGGATCCACCTCAAATGACGATAATATATATTGCCAGTTGGAAGTATCTTTGGTTGCCGCTGTCGTGCATGTTATGAGGACGAATGCGGTCACTCAATCTGTCAATTTAATTGCTGCCATGATGGCTCCCAAAAACTTCATTCTGACAAGCGTGGAATAAAGTCTCATCAATCATTCAGTTACTTGGGTCGCTATCACTGAGAGAGTCTATCATAGGTTTTTAATCTCCATCTATGGGGATTCAATCGGGAGATGATCATCTAATAAACTCCATCTATGTGGAATCCAGAGACCGATGTCACTTCAGCCATATCGGTATTGATCCACAGGCAAGACAACATTCTACGAGAAGCAATAATCTTCTTTCTTTCTGTGGTTCTAAATTTTGACTGAAGGAATCCCATCACCCCATTGGGGTCATTTCATATCTTCTATTCCAGATATGGAGTTGGGTAAAATTTCATGCGATTCAGTAAACAGGATGGACGGAATATAAATTCCATCGTTGTTGCTAGATCATCTATATAATTCGGCGAAGAATGAACTAATAGTAGGATTTTTTTGACAAATGGGAAATTAAAAATGCTCGGGGATGGAAATGAGGGAATGGCTACAATACCTGGATTTAATCAGATACAATTTGAAGGCTTTTGTAGGCTTATTGATCAGGGTTTGGCGGAAGAACTTTATAAGTTTCCAAAAATTGAAGATACAGATCAAGAAATCGAATTTCAAGTATTTAGTATCTGGCAGCACTCGCTGAGAAACATTCTAGACTCGGAAAGGAAATAAAGTTAGTTTTGACGATGAATTTGTGTGACTGGTGCGCTTGCTTGCTTCTTTAATTTTGCACTCAGGATTAACCAATTTTTACTGATTCTTGACTTTCTTTGATCAGAAAATGAAAGTAAGGCCCAAAGATGCCCTAACTCCCGAGCTGTAGAATATTTGATTATTGGATTGGCAGAAACCCAGCTTCCACTGGAAAATCAAGTATTCAGTGGGAGATTGTGGACCTACGAGGGGCATTATCCGAGCACCCAAACAAAATATTAGCACGCCAAAATCCCAATTTTTAGTTTGGATTTCTAAGCAGCAGATTGGAGATCCAAAAGATTCACAAGTTTTAGTACTGGCACTGCCTTAGATATTCCAACAAAAAATCTTTGATATGGAAGCGAGGTTGAAAGCCAGTCTCCCTGAGCCTCCAAGTGAAGACTATGCAACAGGCATCATCACCTAATTCATCTAGAAAATGTTGGCACAAAATTTATTCTTTTCACGGTAGAATTTCAACATGTAACCCATACAAGCTATCATCTCTTACAGAGAGTGATTGAGAAAGCACAAGGCATAATTCAAGCTATTAACCTTAGAGTCAGATGGACATCAACAGAACATTAAGTTCCCACTTTTAACACTGCATATGCACGAGTAATAACTAGGTTGTTAACCGTGATGCACACTGAAAAGTCACATTACATGAGTCCTTCACCAACACTGTGTACTGATGGACCGGCCTGGAAAGGAAGGGAGGTAAGTAAACCAGCAGATCACAGACACATTCACTGTCAATGGTTCCCAACCAATGGCAGCAACTTGCCTCAACAGGTGTCATTGTGTGCCTATGCCTCCTGTGCCTGTGCTCATGCCTGTGCCCATCCTTGTGCTCATGCTCATGCTCATGCTCATGCTCGTGTTCGTGGTCATGCTCATGCTTATGACTGTGCTGATGCCCGTGCAGGTGTTCATGCTCATGGTCATGACTGAGCTGATGCTTTAGGCTGTCATGTCGCTCAATCAGTGATGGAGGAGGAGGAGAGGGCGAAGGGCTAGGAACATATGGCAGAAATGCACATGCATGACTTGCCAGTGCAAATTGGGATGCACAAAGCGGGCGAGGAGCAATGGGAGGAGGAATGGGCCTTGGTATCCATTGGCCGTTTGTCCTCGGCTGCACAACCAGAAATACAAGAAAGACCGCTAGCTTCAGGATCTTGGGTTCATCCATGCCCCTGCCTTTTTAGTCAGAACAGAAAACCCACCATAAAAGAGTGGCTAAAAAGCATCCCTTCTTTTGCTTATATACCAGAATTGTCATAAGCTTTTCGTGTTCTCTAGTTGGCCGTTCTCCAGAATGCGGTAGATACAAGTTTGGGTAAGTGTGGTGGTTAATTAGCATAGTATAATGGGCTCAAAGTGGTTAACAATGCCTCATTCACTTCGTGTGAAGAGCAGCGGCTTACGTGAAGCATCTTCCGCTGTCTAACCTTAAAACTGCCAAACTCACATCTACCTCGAGAACTATATCTTAAGGTTAATTTTGATTTGGCACTCTAAAGCAGATGATGTGTAAATTCAACCCTTGAAAGTGATTCATTCCCAGTTAAAAAATGTCTCATTCACTTCGTGTGAAGAGCCAGAGCAGTGGCTTGAAACAGCAAAACGAAGCAACTTCTGCTACCTAGCTAAAAACTGCAAAACCTACGTCCACCTTGAGAGATGTATCTTAAGGTTAATTTTGATTCGGCCCTGTAAAGCAGATAACGTATCCGTTCAACCCTTGAAATTGATTAAATCACACTTAAGCCCTCCAAAGTGAAGCTTTTGTTGCAGATGATCCCTTCCATCAATTCACGTTCGGTGGACAAAGTTTGACAAAAAGTACCATTCTCATGGTATTCGGTCAACATGAAGTCAAACGTTGGTCTTTTACCATGATGCTGAAACCCAATAGAAGAAACACGCCATGAGAACAGCCAGGCAGCAGTTCAGTTGTTAAAACAGCTCGAAGATGGGAAAGGAAAAAGAACCTCTACCCAAAATAACTACTAGAAAAAACTAAAAAGGGTTAGAAAGTATGCATGGCTGATGAATTTATAAATCAAGAATAAGTTTTCAAAAAAATGAAATCGCAACCCCACACCCGGTTCTTCAACAGGCATTTGCAACTCATAATGCACACACGAGAATAAAAGCTGACTTTGGATCTAAATCAATATCCTAACTTCCTACCAAGCTCCAAAACTCAAAAAAGATATTGTTTGCTGAATAAGTTCATTATGGTTTGCATGTTAAAGAGAACATGCTTAGAGACAGCGAGTCCGGCAAAATCCCTACCAGGCACTGATTTCTCTGCTTCCTGCTTGTGTACCAGGAAATTCGAGAGAAGACAACAGCAGATTTATATCTTCCATGTTAGCTTCAACTCCTCCATGAGACACGATTTCAATGCTTCTGAATCATCTAATCTTAACTCCCGCCACCCTGCACCACCCACCCCTCCTCCGAGTGCTATCAAGTCTGACGAATACAAATAAAAGCATCCCAGGAGTGGATGACGAGTTCTTCAACAAAACTTCTTACCCAAAGCAAAGATGTACTCGGGTAGCTGCAATGCAAGAATGCCTTTTCCAAGTGCCGCAAGTACCTGATTAATAAAACAAAACCATCCCGAAATGTATGACGAGGTAGTAAAAAATCTTTACTCAAAGGAAAGGATAATTCCGTTGGCCGCAAATATAAGAACACTGCAGAAACAAATGAACAATGTGCTAGCTCTATATTGCCAAAAGTGTTCTTTCAAGACGCTGATTACTCTTTTCTTTGGGCCAAGTTCGTCGGCTTTGTAAACAAAGCTACCGCCAGAACAGTACTGAAGTTAGCCAACCAACAAGGTTCAGATGTTGAACAAGGATTTATGAAAGAAATGTCCAAGAGCATCTCATGTCATTTCACAGCTCTAGTATTCCAACAGATCCAATCTGCGCAACAGGTAAACAAGTTTTGGGAGATACACACCCTCAAAGTAAATTCAATGTGCAAATAGGCTTTTCAACAACTGTATTTTTCAATGGAAAGGAATTTTAACTCGTATCAGTGGAACCACCAGCTGAAAATGCTCATACCATCTTTAGCGCGTGCTTTAGTTTAGGAAGTGCAGACATTTTGGCATGCTTTTCACAAACTTTAACAGCTCTGCACCAATCAATTCGTTTCGGTTTTCCTTGTCATCAATTCCATGTCCTTCTCAATCATTTTTCTCTGTAACTTCAATTGCTCAGTCCTCTGCTTATGCCCCTCGGCCAGCAACTCAATAAATTTATCTTTTATCTCAATAAGAGGATCTCGATCAATCAACTGCTCACCCTTATAAGCTTCCCTGAGAATTGCAGTCTGGATTCCACCTTTTAAAGACATGTAGAAAATCCCAGAATGCCTAGTAAACACACTAGTAAATGCATTCGAGAACCTATAATCATCACAGAACTTTCCCAGAACAGGCACTGGAATCCTCTTATAAATTGAAAGCGACAACATTTCGTGAAAAACTCCGACATTCCTCTTTTCCATCTCTCTTGATGATTGTTCCAAATGCGAAACATCGTCATAAGGCGAAATGTACGGGATTTCTAACCAATCTCTAACCCATTCCCTCATTTCCTTCTTAATAAAGAAACCAGGCGGAAGCTTCCAGTTGAAAGAAGGCCTGATCTTTATCCCAGTTAACCTGGATTCCTCCTCTGCCCTCAGCTCGATGACAGATTTCGCATAATCCGAATTCCACGACACCAGTTCTAGATAAGATTTTCCCTCACCAGGAGCCCCTGCCAGTCTAAAATATTCCGGATACCTCGGAACCAAGTTAACCAAAAAATCACTGGGGAACCCAAATTCCCTCTTCACCTCGACCAACTTATCGGCACTAACCACCCTGTTCTTGGACATCATCAACAATTTACACAATTTAGACACAATTAACGGCTCGTTTTCGAGGTGAATTCTTTTCTCGTCTTCTAAGAACTGCCTGAGCCTGCGGCTGGGGCGGATAAATGGAACCGGGTCGGATTTGGGTCTGATCCGGTCCGAATAAGTGTCGAATAATCCCGGGTTTCGGGATAGGAAAGTTTGGATTTTGATGGGTAATCGAAGCCTTTCGCGGCGTTTCTCTAAATAACGGAGTGGGATTACTTGACCCGGTTCGTTTAATACCTCTCTGACCACCCTTGCGCTGAGCCTCCATTGCTTGTCGTTCTCAATCGCTTGGTCTAGCTTGGGGTCCTTCCGCCACGCTACTCTGAGGCTTGAAATTGAAGCTCGAAACTGAATGCAAGATTTGAGTATCGAGATTTTCGAGGCTGAGCGAGAAGATACAGAATAGGGCCTGAAAAGCATAACTAACCTACTAGATTTCGTTTACTCCAAGATGAATTGATTTCGAGATGAAAGAGTCCCTACTTCATTGATTGTTTTGGAGGTTGTAAAATGCTGCAACCTAGAGGATTTGGACTTTGGAGCGGGTGATGTTGCTCGAATACTCGGGGGGACGTGGGCGCCTCAAATAGTCCGAAATCTTTAACACGGGTTCAGACTTTGATGAAATGGGTAGGCCGTAAGCCCGTAACGATTTGATTTAGGAGGGAAAGGGCAATATTGTAAATCGCGTTATAAACAATTGCCTGATTCCCAATGAAAGACAAGCCCCTCAGGGTCAAGCACGCTGGTCCACCTCAGCACTACACTAAAAATTTCGTACTTTCTCTCCGTCTCTTTCCTCTTTACTTCAGTACCTGGCTCCACAGTCCACACCAGGGGATGAACTAGTACCCCCATCACCGCCAGCACCGCTACCGTCAACGGAACCGTCTCCGCTCCCGACCGCTTCTGGATACTGCTGCTGCTGCAAAAGACGAGGACCTGTGCTGTCCTAATAGTGGAGTACTAACTGTATTTGTTGGCAGAGGAGAGGGAATGCAGGTGTCTTTAGTGAATGCCTTAGCCCTAGTGGGGTTGACGGCCACCACCAGGGCATTCGTGGTGGACTCTCAGGACATTGAATTCGGGAACCCATGGTGGTTTGTCTATGCCGGAATATCTTGCATCCTCGTGCTTTTTGCCGGTATAATGTCCGGCCTCACCTTGGGATTGATGTCCCTCGGTCTTGTCGAACTTGAAATTCTTCAGCGAAGCGGCAGCACCACTGAAAAGAAGCAAGCAGGTCCACCTAATTTAATTACCTTTTTTTTTGTTTTTCTGATTGGGGACGTTTTCCTTAAGGGAGGGGGAGCGTTCTGTACTTAGAGAGGGCTACTAAATTTTGATGAGGATAACTTTTTTCTTCAGCTGAATGGGAGCTAAAAAAGACTTCGTTACTTCTTTCTTTCTTTTTTTTTTTCCTGCGTCAGCTATTATTCTGCCAGTTGTGCAAAAGCAGCACCAGCTTCTTGTGACCTTGCTTCTGTGTAATGCTGCTGCCATGGAGGTGAGTCTAAGTTTGACTACACTCTTGTAAGCTCTTTGTGAAATTTTGGTCTTTCGAATTCTGGTCTCGATCGCAACTGAAAATTTTTTTAGGAGTTTTGCTATTATTTCCTCTGTATGATCATGGAACGAATGTGTTCAGACCTCTTCTTTTTCAGACGATGTTACATATTAATACGTAAGATTGTGGTTCTCTTTACTTTTATTAGGGTCTGGGGACGCAGTTTGGGAATTTTAACATAGGAAAGTAATAGCACTTGAGCATTGCCCTTTTATTGATGATATTCCTTCTTTGGATTTTTCCCCCCATTTTTGACTCAAGAGTTGTTGATTTATCATGTTGGAAAATGTCATCTTCTTCTTCCTCGGAGAACTCCGTGATATGAGTTTTGATCCTTTTCATATATCCCGACATTTTGATTGTGCAAAGTAAGTAATTTATGTATCATCTTCACTCACTTGGTCATGTTCCTTGCAGGCTCTTCCAATTTACCTGGATAAGATTTTTCATCCTGCTGTTGCTGTTGTGCTATCTGTGACGTTCGTTCTACTCTTTGGGGAGGTTTGTTCTGTTCTTACGACATTCTACTTATTTTCTGCACCACGTGAACATAAAGAACTTAATAACTGATATTTATTTGATGCTTCATCTCATTGGTGTTAGATTATTCCACAATCAATATGCTCAAGGTACGGACTTGCTGTGGGTGCAAACTTTGCATGGCTAGTCCGCGTTCTGATGATTATTTGCTATCCTATTGCTTACCCTATAGGAAAGGTAAATTCTCTGCAGATTTCTCGTTGCCTTGCTTTGTAAATGGTCTGTGGGAATTGATACATGAAAGAGAAACTGCTGTTTGAATGTTCAATGTATTCTCTTTCCAGGTTCTGGATGCTGTACTGGGGCATAATGATGCTCTGTTCAGACGAGCTCAGCTGAAAGCACTTGTTTCAATCCATGGCCAGGAGGTAATAACTCTTAGCTGCATCTATTCCATTTTGTTAATGTAATATTCAGGCCTGAATTTACTAGGACTTGGATATCGGAGTGCTTTGGACTCAGCTTCGGTAGTGCAAAATGAAGAGTGATACAAATATGCTAGGGCAAAGTGAAGACTCATAGTAATATAGTTCAGGCTGGCTTTTTAATTGGTGAGAGGAAAGAAAATGACAAAATTGTCCGCGTAAAGTTTTGTATTATCTTATGAAAGATTGATATGCTCGCAGTAAATTCAGTGTGAGAGTGCATGATTGCAAAACAATTCAATCTCATGGGAATAATGAACAATCTTTTTTTACTTGTCTAAGTTCGTAAATTCTTTTCTTTTCACGTCAGTAATTGTTTTCTGGCGCCATCTTAGGCTGGCAAAGGGGGTGAACTCACGCATGATGAGACTACTATTATAAGTGGAGCACTTGATTTGACTGAAAAGGTTTGTCTTGATGGAGATGGAGTGCAGAAACTGTTATAGCTTTCCTTATATGATTTCATATGAGATTGCTGACCTCTCCCATCTCGTGTATTGGGTTGTTCAGCACCAACCTCTGGTGAAGTCAATTGGTCATGCATATTTCTTTATTCTTTTTAAAAAGAAAATGATTTAGTTCCATACCTACCAAGAATGATCTGAATGTGGCTTCATACTAACTTTATTGAGTTAAATTTTTGTTTGTGTAAGTTGCAGCAAAATCCACTTGGATCTCTTTAATGCATGCAATTCTTGCCACTTGATTCTAATTGTAGTGACACTAAAAATGTTCAGAGGCTTTTCATACCATGTTACTCTTTAGATGTCTTAAGACTTGGTAATGTTTATTTTAAGTTCTGATTTTAGTGCTTGTCTGTAATAGTCTGGGTTAAAGTTGTGCTTTGGACGTTTGCAGACTGCAGAGGAGGCAATGACACCCATCGAATCAACATTCTCCCTCGATGTCAATTCCAAGTTGGATTGGTGATTTTTTCACATTTGTCTCATTGTTCGAGGACCTAGTTTACAATGAAACCATTGTTTAGACCTGATGATGATGATATTCTGCTATTTTTACCTGATTTCCCTAGCCAAAATGCATGTATAAAGATTGCAAGCTTAATCTATTGTCTCCCACTGGATCGAATACTGTTCTCACAAGGGTTATAAGCTGTCTTAGCGTAATTCAACTGTTGATAGAAAAATAAATGGCCATGCATAGGCTCTATTGTATCCAGAGATAACAAGTCATTAATGCGTATAAAGACATGCCACCACCCCCCCCCCCCAACAAAAAAAAAATCATTTAGGAAACATAGTAAAGGAAAAATATCAAACTTATTGAATGCTAAAGTCACATTAAGGGATGCATAAAGAAGGCCTGATTTTTGTATTTCATTTTGTTCATCATTGAAAGCATTTGTTCAAGTTCAAAACTACAACATCTACATGTTCAGAATGGTCATGGTTGGTTCATGATTTCAGTACCCTCAAATGCTCTTCGAAGTGTGTTGGCTTGACTTCTGTTTTCATGGGTTTTGTTTCCACTTGGAATGAGGTTGAGATTTTGTTTGAAGCCAAGAGAAGTCGTAGGATGAGTTTATGCCACCTCTTCTCAGTTTCTGTAATCTTCTTGTTTAACCACTTTGTGAACATGTGGATTTTTGGAACTGATAGTTGTTTTCTCTCCTTAGCCATATTCTTACCACCCTAAGATATTCTAGTTTACCTACATAGTTATTTTTGGTTCTTAGTTTCCTCTTTTCCTTCAATTCAATGAGCATTATTTACTAAATGGCCATTCCTTCAATTCAACACGAAGTAATTTATAGAATGACTGAATTCATATGCCTGATTACTAAATGATAGTTTCTTCTTGCACTTTTGGACGGATCAAAACTATACATTATTCTATTTTGACTGTAGATTATCTTGTGGATATTCTTACATGCAGGGAAGCTATCGGAAAAATTCTTGCACGTGGTCATAGTCGAGTTCCTGTCTATGCAGGAAATCCAAAGAACATTATTGGACTTCTACTGGTTTGTACAAGACTCTGACGGCTATTAGATATTAGTTTGTCTATTTGTCTAACAGATTGTAAATTTGGTTTTTTTTTTTTTTGGTTGGAACTTTCCTGTTTTGGGGAATAGGTGAAAAGTCTTCTGACTGTGCGGGCAGAAACAGAGACTCCAGTTAGCTCTGTTTCCATCAGGAGAATACCAAGGTAGATATTTCTGCTTATTTTTTTTCTCTTATCTCTTGCTTAGTAATGAAATCCACTTATCCCAGGGTTCCAGCAGATATGCCTTTGTATGATATTCTAAATGAGTTTCAAAAAGGAAGCAGTCACATGGCAGCTGTTGTGAGGGTTAAAGCAAAAGACAGTAACTCTCTTCCTCCTGGTGAAGGAGAAAAAGTTGGAGAGAAGAAAGTCAACAGTGTAGATTCACAATTGACTTCCCCCTTGCTACACAAGGTTGATGAAAAATCAGATAGCATTGTAATCAATATGGATAAGGCATCATCTCAGACAACTATAGACAAACATACTCTCAAGCAAAATGTTGCCATGACAAACAGTTTGACCCATCTGCCTGAGGATATTGAAGAAGGGGAAGTCATTGGCATCATTACCCTGGAAGATGTATTTGAAGAACTTCTCCAAGTAACTCCTTTATTTGGTTCGCTTTTCAAGATTTCAGTCTTGAACTGGGTTTTGTCCTGGGATTTCTTATTGCTCAAGTTGCTGCAAGGCATCTTTTGTTAACCTCTTTCAACTGATAAAAAATTGAATGTGTACCAAGGAGCTATGCTCATCTTTCAAGGAAAAGAATCTTGATTACCTCAATCTCCAATTTCATGCGAACTTGACATGTAATTAGTGCATATTTGATGACCATCAATTCGTTGATGCAGGAGGAAATTGTAGATGAGACAGATGTATATGTGGACGTGCACAAAAGGTATTTGAATGAGCTTTGCATGCTATTAATGTCTTTGGACTCAACCTAACTTAGATATGTGAATATTAGTTGTTTAAGCCATTTGTTGAATTTTGATGATTTCATTACTGTAATTGTTGCAGAATACGAGTGGCTGCGGCTGCAGCTGCTTCATCTGTTGCTCGAGCGCCTTCCAATAGGAGGCTGACTGGTCAAAAGCCCTCAGGTGAGTACCAAAACATAAATGCTTTTCAGATTGATTTGGTGTTTATGATGTTAGTCTTATCCTATTAAATTTAAACCTAATAGGATAACGAACCTGCATGGTTGAGAATTTTTAATTCTTCCACCCACCAGAAGTTGGATTCAATGTGTTTGTTCTATTTTTCGTCTATGCTGAATCTTCTATATCATTTCCAGGGAGATTTGGCAAAGAAAGGACAAACCCCAAAGAAGCCACTTAAGGATGATGTGCATTTGAGGAGATCTCAAGGTCATGCTGCCTGTAATTTAAAGGAAGAGATAATTTTGTAGATTTGGTCATCCATAAAACGGAAAATGGACAAGGCAATGATTCCATAAAATGCTCCATAGTCCAGTCTGGAGCCTCTGAAAAAGGGATAGAAAGAAAAGAAAATAATGTATATGTTGGCGGCTGTAGAATAGATGTTAGTGATAGAAGAAGAAGCTGGAGTGTAGATACTATTATGTATTTATGTGCGGACTGGATGTAATTTCGCTGCCTGTGTTGTAATAAACAAACTGTATTACACCTTGACATGTTAAATCAAGGCTCAAAAATTTAAAGTTTTATGAAATTTATTTTATCTCCTATAGTATTTTAGTGGAATTTTTGGGATTCTACATTAGTTACAGAATAATTTTTTTGTGGATTCCACATCAATTACCAATGCTACTGAACTGTGAAGTGTGTTAATACGAGTGAGTGCTCATATAGATTCAGATATCAAGCGTTTGAAAGCATGCTGTTTACCTGCTAACCATTGCTAAATCAACAATTTGATGTACGTAGAAACAATTCGCCATTCCTCATTGCTACACTCCCCTTTTTCTATTCCCCTTCTCACGGTAAGTTCATATGCCCAAAGCGGAAAAAAAGTAAGGAACAAGCCTTAGCATATGTTATTTTAATTGAAGTACGTGTGATTGGATACATATATTTTTTAAATATTTATTTTATTTGTATAGTAAATGCGTTTTCTATTTTTAATTATTTTTCATTCCACATCTGTCATATTGTTAAAAAAAATGCAACAATAATTAGGAACAATTTGAGAAACCTCTCACGAGGTTTCTAATAATTTCACTGAGTTCCCTCGAGATTTAAGAAATTAAACCTATCTCCCTTATCCATATAAAATGACGATATTAATCTTATCATTTTAATAAAACTCCCTTATTGGCTATGCATATAGAAATAATGGGATTTATAATTATTTTTTTTCCTTTTCTCTTCTTATTTCTCTTTTCTTTTTTATTTTGGGAGTAAAACTATGGAACTATAAACTATAAATATTAACTCTAGTTCCTATCGTTGCCAAATGTTAAATTAATGACTTTTTTTCACAACTCTGGATGTGATCCAATTTTTCTTGTTGATTTTTTTTTTCTTCTTTGTATCAAAAGCAACAATAATTTAAAATGAAACTATAGAAAACAACTACTCAATTATGATAGTTCGGACAATTCAGAAATCCACAAACTCTAAAAGTATTAAGACAGTACTTTCTTCTTTAACTTAGAAGGAACATGCATCCCTAGTTAAGCATTATGTATAGTAGTAGCCTATCATATTAATTGATAAAACTATTATAATAATTGGTTGTTAAATAATAAATATAGGTATTGAAGATCTGATACTTTTTTTTTTTTATATATTTGTGCTATATATTTTACAATTGTTTTCAAAAGTAGTATAAACTTCATAAATTGAGAGTCTTTTAGGGTGTTCATTTAAAATTTTTACCGAGTCTAAGGTTTGGCTGCTAGAAGTATCAAATTAAAGGAGGTAAGTTTAATTTTTGAAACTTGAAGGGAGTTCAGTGAAATTTCTAGAAACATCAAGGAAGGTTTATGTAATTATCACGAATAATTATTGGGAAAATGGCCATTTTCGTCCCTAAACTTTTTTCTAGAGTCGATTTAGTCCCTAACTTTTATTTCTGGCCAATTTAATACATAAACTTAATTTTCGAATCCAATTAAGGACTTCTGCGGCGGGGCCACCACCTAAAAGCAATTTATCTCCTAATTTAACATTAAACAAGGGCATTTTTGGAACTTCAAGTATGAATTGTAATCAAACTGAGTAAATTAAAAAAATTATTAGTATTTGGGGTATTTTTAAATTTAAAACTTTTTGAAGGGATTTTTAATATTTTTAATTAACTTCTTAATTCTTCCTCTGCCTCACCCCTCCTTCTTCCTTGCTGCCACCGCCACCGCCTCCCCTTCTTTCCTTTCCTTTCTTGTCGACTAATTTTCTCAGCCACCCCTCTTTCCTGTTAACCCTCCAAAGATGTGATGTCTAAGGAGATCAAGTACTTTCATCTAACATCAAATGGATGCACAGTTCAAGAGAGCGGCGATCACCCTGCATAGCAATTAGTGTTGGGCCCAACTTGTCCTCTTGACTGGAAGCTGCTACTGCTTTTGTTGGCTGCCTTTCCCAGCCGATTGGCCTGTGGTTGTGGGGTTGTTCCTTCTTAGTCTTTCATTGCTTGCCTGCTACAGAGGCTTCAGCAGAAGCAAGACAAGAAGAAGGTGCCGAATCACAATTTTCCGAATGCCGAATCACAATTTTGCAATTGAACTATAATCATGGGATCTGTAGTGGTAGAAATTTATGGACCTCAAACGTTGGAGAATAGAAGGTGATCTAGCAAGCTTGGGTTGTTGAGGATGAAGATCATTTTGGGAGTTTTGCCGGTGCTGATGGTGCTGGTGCTGGTGCTGGGGAGTTTTGGGAGTTGAACATCGTGCAACTTTTGTTCTTCAGAAATGGAGGGCTGGAATATTGAGCACTGGAATATTGAGGAACCCACTCGTCTGCATTTACAGATTTCCTCTTCTACTTTCTCAATTACAATGTAAACTCAAAGGTGGATGAAAAGAGAAGGATAAGAGGAGGAGGAAGAGGAGGAGGAGGTGGGTGACTGGCGACGGAGGTTGACAGTGGAGATGAGATAATTTGAAGTTTCCAAAAATGCCCTTGTTTAATATTAAATTAGGAGATAAATTGCTTTCAGGTGTGGCGCCGCCGCAGAAGTCCTTAATTGGATCCGAAAATTAACTTTATGTATTAAATTGGCCAGAAATAAAAGTTAAGGACTAAATCGACTCTAGAAAAAAGTTTAGGGACGAAAATGGCCATTTTCCCATAATTATTCCACACAAAGCTCTAGCCATCCATCCAAATAGAATAGTTACCATAAAGCAGACAGAAGCATGTTGGCGTTCTCTCGTGGGACTGAGAAATTGGAAAGGGTCAAGAAGTAGAAAGTAGCATAGGATAGGAAGTAGTGAAGTGGGAAAGGGGGGGGGGGGGGGGGGGGAAGAGAGTGATAGCTGATTAGTAATTCAGTGAGTTGTGAACCCTCCACCAAGTAATCGGAAGCGGAAACCCTCTGGGCTCTTACTACTAGTAATAAAAAAAGTACATAGTAATAGTTAGTCAAAAATGCCCAATTCCTTAGCTGTTACGTAGATCTCCTCCTCCGGCTCCACACCTAGTAGCCCGGCCCGGAGGCCCGATCAGTAGTGTAGGAAATAAATAAACAGTACTAATCAATACATCCACTCCTTAAAAGAGGGCTCTGACTCTGGTTTTTTCTCACCAGGATTGTTAAACCACACATAAGAGCGGTCATCAAATACAGGTTAGTGGGTTTTAAACCCTAGCATCGCATTAGGGTTCACTCTTTTCTAATTCTTATTGATTTTGCTATTTTCGGTGATAAGTATGATATTGATAATCCATGCTCCCTCAATCATCGCCTTCCCTTGATTTCCACGCGCTTTATTTCTTTCTTTTTTTCTTTATCACCGCATTTCATTTTAGCCAGAAGAGTCCTCTGTCTCAAGAATTGGGTCAGTTTTGGCAGAGCAATTTGTTTTGCGTTGGTTGATTATAATTCTTTTTCTTTTTTCAATTCTTTCTTTTTTTTTTTTCCAAAATTAGGCAATGGAATTCAAAGTTTTGTAATTCTTTTTTTTACAAAAATTGGCGATTGGATCATCACTCTGTTTTTTGGTTTAGTTTTATGTGGTACGCGATTGTATGTTTATCTTTGTAAATGAATGCGGTACTGATATTATGTATTGCCAATTTCTTTTTGTGATTTTAAAGGATTCTTTTTCCGCCTTTTTTTTTTTGTAGAATTTAGTGACAGCAGTTGTTGACAATGGGATTCAACAAAGTTTACAAGGTGTTGCTGGAAATATTTCCGGAGGTAGGAGAATTTTCACTTCCATTTGTATTATGCGGTCTTATTTTCCTTTAAACTAATTTGTACATTATCTCTATAACTTGTTGGAGAAGTTTTTTTTTCTTTTTTTTTTTGGGGGGGGGGGGGGTGTTGGGGTGTTTCTGGCAGAAAGGGGGAGGGGAAGGAACCATCGTGTACTATAAGTGAAGTAGTAACTAGTGAGTGGAGCATGTGGTATTGAAACTATTTTTGCACTGCACAGTACACTGGCAAAAAAAAAAAAAAGGCTGAGTTGAACACTTAAATTCTTGCACCGTAGAAGTATAGCAGGTGGAAATACATCTTATTATGAAAATTTCAGATTGATATACGTGCACTTTTTTTTTTTTGGTGTCTAAAGTTGGATGAATGAATATCTTTTTTTGGTTCAATACTTCTTTTTAACTGATTCTTAATTTAACAAGAAAGAAAAAACTGGAGAGAGAGAGAGAGAGAGAGAGAGATTTGTGACAATCTGGATTGGAGTAGCTTTGTCAATCTGAAAATTGTGAGAAGTTATTAGTTTGCTTTAAACTTGATAAAGTATGCTTCTGACTGATGTTTTAACTCTTTCTGTTTTGGGTAGGTTGATTCTCGAGCTTTAAGGGCTGTTGCAATTGAGCACCAGAAAGATGCTGATTCAGCCGTTGAGGTAGTTCTAACTGAGGTCATCCCTTTCCTGACAGAAAGATCTATGTTTACTACTAGCTTATCCTGGGAGAGTGGAGCTAGACTTCAATCACCTGAAGGTAATGTTTGCCCTATGTGCTTTTGACTTGTTAATTTCATGATTTTGGAGTTTCTGTTGTTCCTGGGCTTTTTGATCTTGTTTAATTGGTTTTAGTGGCTGAACTTTTTTATTGCAGCCGTGGAAGTCTTTGCTAATGGAAACTCTTCTGGACATAATGTTGTTGAGGATGTGAGATGTCCAGATGAAGAGCAACATGGCCCCTTTTATGATGCAAAAGATGAACACGATCAAACTTTTGATGACACATATGACTTGAATCTAGTTAGCAGACCTGAGATAGTGACCTCAGCGAGAAAACGTGATGAAAAAAGCATACCAAGTGGTGATGAAAAAAGCATAAGCATATCAAGTGGTGATGAAAAAAGCATATCAAGTGGTGTTGATATGTCCTTTTCTGTTTCAGTGATTCATGGGAATGGGGCCACTTCTGATGGTGTTAAAATATCTGGAGACCATGCAAGTGAAGCAACTCCTCCTCAAGAAAGCAGCTTCAGAGTTGGATATGATCAAATTTTGCAGCCAACATTCAGACCACTGGAACATGAGACTGTGGAGTCCATTCAGAAGTTAAATGATTGTCTGCATGCTGACTGCAATAATAGTCACTCTGAAATGAACATTCCTGTGGGGAATTCTGTTGGTCTTCTTTCTCAGTCAAACTTTGAACCTGTAACTCGAACTTCTTCTGAAAGCACGATTCAGTTGGTAGACATACCTATCAATCACATTACTAATTTGGAGAAAGAACTTAATGGTCCTAAAGATGCTGCTACTAACACGGAGTCCTTCCATGAAATGGTTGATGTTGAAGAACCTATGTTGAATACAGTGGTGACACGATCTGGCCAAGTCTTTAGCATTGATCTTCTTGAAAATATTATTGCAGATGCAAGGAATAATAAGGTATTCTCCCTGTGATAAGGCATATTTGTCTGTTTTGCATTCCCAGTTATTGTGTCATGAAAGGTCATGTGGACTTTGTTGTATGTGCAAGGCTCAGTATATTAGTATTCTCAGATCTCTGATCACTTTGGTTGATGTTTATCAGTTCATGTTATCTGGTTAGATGATTTTAAATATTGTTCCTGATTTATGAGTACAGCTCCATTGGATCCTTCAGTTTTCAGCCTTTTGTGCTAACCTGCATGAAGATAATTTTTATGGCTTTGAACTCCTAGTAGCTTGGATGATGTGAAAGCACAAAAAAGATAGAGAAATGGGAGATTGGATGCTAATTAGGAGTTTCACTTATCTTTGGTTGTGTCAATTATGGTAGGAAAAATCACTGCATATGTCAGAGGGGATTAACAGGAGGTAGGTCTATTCTCCTTTATTGCAATGTATCTTAAGATATCCATTATCAAAATGGTGCAGAAAACCCTGCTTTCAGCTATGGAGACTGTCATCAGTTTGATGATGGAGGTGGAATTGCAAGAGAAAGCTGCTGAACAAGCAAAACAAGATGCTGCTAATGGTGGCTTAGAGATGCTCAAGAGGGTGGAAGATCTCAAACAAATGCTGCAACATGCCAAAGAAGCAAATGACATGGTTGTGTTCTTTCTGTTGACTGCTCGGTGGCATCTTTCATTCGACTATTTGAACATTTTTTTTGTGTTCTTTGTCTAAAGTTTGTCATTGTTGTTGCAGCATGCAGGAGAAGTATACGGTGAGAAGGCCATCTTGGCTACAGAAGTTAGAGAGCTTCAGTCTCGCCTGCTCTGCTTGTCTGAGGAAAGGGATAAAAGTCTTGGAGTTCTCGATGAGGTTGTTAAATCATATTAACGTTGCATGCACGAATCAAGTTCATTCAAGTTTCTTCAGATGACACATTGTGGGTTTTATAAATTTGATATGGGTATACCTAGTTATGTGTGACAAAGGCGTACATTGAATAATACTAATATTCTCTTAATGTTGCAGCACTATTTTACTTTGGTTAAATTAGTGTTATAGTATCTATTTATTTCCCATTACTGTAGCATTTTGCATTTGTAATAGTTGATTGTTGATCATGCCTTTCTTCTGGTCACATGGCTTGTAAAATTTCATGTATGTCCTGTTTATTCTGTATGCTTTTTTTTTTCTTTTACTTTGGCAACTATCTGTATTTGACTCTTAGGCTGTCTTTTCTATTTGGAGGTTTTTACCCCATTGCCTCTTGCCACTTTTGACTTTTAGGGTTCTTTTCTGCAGATGCGTCACAGTTTGGAGATGAGATTAGCTGCAGCTGAGAAAGAGAGAAAGATGGCTGAGGAAGAAAAACTTGTAAAGGAAGATATTGCATTGAAAGCACTAAAGAACCAGGAAGCTATCATGGAGAAGGTGGTGCGAGAGGCAAACATCCTGAAGCAAGAAGCTGAAGAGAATGCTAAGGTGTTTGTTTATCTCCTTTTTTAGTCACTCATTATCTAAAAGTTTTTGAATTCTGTATTTTGATATTCTCCTTGCGTTGCAGTTGAGGGAGTTCCTTGTGGATCGGGGCCGGGCGGTGGATGCAATACAGTAAGTCATATTTCCTGGAAAACCTCCCTATTTTATCTGGTGTGAAGTTGATGAAGTTGTTCAGGAATATATTACCGTGATGAGGACTTGCATGTGTGCATCTGTGGTGTACATTTTTCCCCCCTCCCTGCACTTTCATGTAATTAAACTTCAGAATTTTTAGATTAGCTGTTTTTGCCGATACTTAATGACATTCCCTGTTGGCCATATTGAGCTTGTGAGTCTGGTAAAGTTTATCTGAAACATTTTTGTGCTGAGGGAATAAAATTCTGACCGTTATTCTTGACGGTGCTCAGACTTTCAACTTGATGTAGCCCTGCCCCTTTTCATGGTTTCTTCGATAGACTCGTCTCAAAAGTTAAACTGATGGGAACCTTCGGGTCTGCTTGCCTTGTAGTTTTCCCCAAGAACTTGAATTTGAACTACTAGTCTAAAGTAACACAACCCCAAAGCACCCAAAAATACAACTCAAAACACCTACCAAAAACACCAAAAAATAACTGAAAAAAAAAAGAACACCATTCCTTTCTTTCTCCACCACCACTCCCTCACTCCCCGCCTCCCCTCCCCGCTTCTCTCCTCCCTCCTCCTCCTTCCCCACTACTGCTCCTTCCCCTCCCTCCCTTCCTTTCCCCTGCACCCCTCTCCTCATCTTCGTGGTGACTAGGGAAGGGAAGAGGAAGAGGGAGGAAAGTAGGGAGGAGACTGGAGGTTTGGGGGAGGGGGCTGCTACTGGTAGTGGCTGGGAGAGGGGATTGGAGAAGTGGTGGTGAGTGGTTGTGTTAGGGTGGATAAAAAAAATTTTAAAAACACCTCAACAAAGTTTTAAAATTTAAAAACACACCCGAAAAACTTTTAGAGTGAACGTTTTTAATGTACAAAATTACAGTATGAAAAACACCCCTAAAAACAACTATTCATTATTCTTTTCTTTATTGCCTTGTGCTTATTCTACAGGATATTGAAATAAGTTTCTCCCTGGATATCCCATATCATACGCTCTTGCAATTGATTTATTTGCTTGAAAAAGTTTGAGATATTGTCAAGCATCTAGCTTCTAGCTTATATATGCAAAAAATTTTTTTGTTGTTCTCATGTTATTCTACCCTTACTCCTCCTGTGGTTTTGGGTTGTAATTTGCCATGTAAGCTGTTCATTCAAATCACGTGTGAATCAAGGTGTTGATTAGCTGGGTTACAAGATTATATTTTCTATTGAATATTAAGAGACTTGGTTATGAAATTGGCATTTTTTTAATATTCCTGCAGAGGAGAGATATCTGTTATTTGCAAGGATGTAAGACTGCTGAAAGAAAACTTTGATGAGCGTCTTCCACTTAGCAAATCTCTAACTTCCAGCCAGAAAGGCTGCATTTTAACTTCCTCAATATCATCTTCAAAGAGTGTGACATCTGAACAGGTGAATCGGGTCCATGACCATGATTCATCAGAGACCACAGAGAAAACAGATCTGACGCACTTCTTTTGTGAGCCGGAATTTATTCGAGAGGAATTGGCTGCAGCAGATGATGAGAAGGAACTCGCAGATGAGGGATGGGAAATTTTTGACAACCGTGATGCTTATATGTAAATTCTGAGTAAAATGTTGGTGGAGGTTGCCTCAAGGAGACGATTTGAGTTCTGTGGTTGTATATTTAACTTCAGCGTCTGTTTTAATCTGAAATAAGTTTCTGGATATAATACTAGAGCATCCAACCTTGCTGTCCTAGTGCTAGTATTTTATAATCTTGAATTGGATCCGGATATCTGTCCGTGACTTCCAAATTCCAATGTGTACAGTTCGTGTATATAAACGAATATTTGGCTGATGATTTTGTGGTAGCTCTCACGCAGTCGAGATCATAATTAGCACATTGATCAACAAATGGGGTATGCAGTCTTACTTGTGAGCTGTTATAAAAGGGGGTTTTACTTGTGAATTTTTAATTTGCCATTGCAGCTGAGCCCTCAGTGTTAGGAAACTCCTTTAAAGACTTTGGAACTGCTTTTCCATTATATCGTAACCAATTTGATGAAAAGAACAATCAAAACATTCACCGTCTTTACAGGAAAATCAGAAAGTTCCGAAAGGTGCAGCCGAAAGGACATGATAAAAAGATTGGGTTTTTCTATCATGTGTTCGTGATTTCGTACTCCGGCTTCTAAATTCATACCCTCGACTTCTCGACTAATGGAGACTGACTGACTATACGTCGTGGCCATCTCTGGTCAAAACTGAACTATACAAGGATGACCAAATCATGTGTCAAAATTTACAACACTGAGGAGTAATCACACTACACTAGTGTGTTGAGTTGTGCAGTGTGCTCCTGCCTGCTACGCTACGGACAAGGGGCACGGACGGTTGCAGGTGCAATCGTTCCGGACGATTTTGTTCATTTTCAATTGTACGTAACTTTCTTTGTACATCGCGTAACTTTATTTTGCACGTCGCGAAGCTTTACAGCAAATTTTTGTGGGACCCACACATGACATGAAAATCGAGTTACAACTTGTGATCTCAGCCGCACAAATTTTTGAGGGCAGATCATGACCATTAACCGTTCAGGGACGGTCATCAGTATGACCGTCCCTGCCCCATTTCCGCTACGCTACATACATCTGAAGCTCAGTCATGCCAGCATACGAGCAGCACCGTACATCTCCAAATGATATAAAGGCGCGCCCGCTGCTCTCTTAGCGGCTTGGAGCATCTGCTGAATGACCGCACTTTGGAGACACTCCTGAAAGACAGCGCATTTGCAGCCATGGGATTGGGAACTGGACCTGTTCTGTACTACTGTAAATTGGCGAGAGCGAGCAAGGGAAGCTGTTGAATGACGATTTCAAGGGATTCTTGTGCCCTTAAATAGACGTGTAGTACTGAAATTTATGTGTGACTGTAAGAGAGGCAACGTGTGTGTGGTGAACGGTGATTGATAATTAAAGGTTGGCCCTACGGCTTGGGGTGCACTGCGCTAACAGCATATGACACAGTCGTTGGCAAGCCACCATTCTTGTTCCCCAGCCAACCTCCATGAGAATGACTTCACCGTATCCGCTTCCTGTATAGGGTCATCGCTGTCTCACATGTGATGTATATACCCTTTTCAACCCACATGCATGTGTGTACGGATGGATATGGTTTTCTTTTTTGTCATGGCAAGATATACTAAAAGTGTTCGAGCGACGGAGTTAGGGAGAGGAGGAAGTCAACTAAGCAGGTTAAAGAATAGGGTATCTAGGTAGGATTGAGCCAATAAAAAAAGGGCGGTGGGCATTTATCCCAGATCAAACTTGAAGAATTTGAGGTCTGTGTTAGAGGAATAAATGCAAGGAGGACAGAATGGGATCAGAAAGACACAGGTAGGTTTTGTTACACAACAAAATACAGAAGGGAACTCTTCCCTCCCCTCCCCCCCCCCCCCCCCCCCCCCCCCCACCAACAAAAAAAAAGAAAGAAGGGAAAATCGTACTCCACTTGTAGTGGAAAGAACTGTCAAAATGTGAACCATTGGCATGATGTGGTTAGCTTTTCTTTATAGCTGTTGATGATCGGTAGAGTAGGGCTGCAAACGGGTCGAGTCGAGTCGAGTTTTGAGCTAATCGAGCCGAGTCTCGACTAAATTTTACCAAGCTCGAACTCGAGCTCGAGCTCGACGAGTCGGCAATTTTCAAGCTCGAGCTCGAAAAAAATAAAAAAAAAATTATTTTATTTTTTAAAAAATAAATAAAATAATATTTTTTTCTTAATAAATAACAAAATATTAAGGATATATACGTAATTTTACTATGAAAATAAAAAATAAAAAATATATATAAATAATATACTAATTTTATTATTAAATAAAAATAAAAATAAAAAATATATATATATACTCAAGCTCGCGAGCTAACGAGTTTAATATTCTGAGCTCGACTTTGACTCGAGCCGCTCGCGAGCGGCTCGATTCGTTTGCAGCCCTACGGTAGAGTAAACAAATTTCCTCTTAAGATCATTGATGGGTTTAGGTGGGAAGTGGGTTTGCCTCGAGATTTCAATTCTTTTTCCTTTTGTAGAAGTTACTCCTCAATTAGTCTCTAGGATTTGACATGTTATTTGGCCCTTCAAAATCGATCAAATGTGCATCACATGTTGGTTGGTTTTAGATCAATATAAGTGGTCGGAATTAGGCGGGAGGGACAAAAAATTACTATTCTAAATGCGAGAGATGCAAAAATGTCTTTTGGCCAAACGTGAGGGAGGTTTTCGCCAATTAAGATGCAGCTGGTGGAGCGTAATAAAATAAATAATAATACTAGAATACAGTAGCGTTTTTCTAACACCATTTGACATCATGATTGAATGAAAGACACATAAATAAATTTTAAATTTTAAATTCAAATTTTATACATATATTAATATTTAAAGATGATAGTGTATATATTGACAATCAGTGTATAGAAAATTAATCTAATAAATAATAATACTAGAATACAGCAGCAGCGTTGATGGAGATCCATGTCCCCGGAACTAGCGGATGCTGGCGCAACAGATCTTTTCAGCACCGATTTGACATGTCAACAAACAAGATTTAATTATCAGATTAAGAAGCAGATGAACTTATGAAAAAAGCAATAATGCATTCGCGATTTTAGTTGGGATTTTAATTTTACCACGGGAGTCGGCACTAGTAGACACGTTATATATATGCGTTGTAGGCACGTTCCAATTAAATTGGAGCAACCAAACAGACTACGGTCTCTCCCAGTCAATTAAGTACTTGTACTACCAGACTGACATGCCGATGCCGATGCCGATGCCGCCCCACTTTATCATTTGTTCTCCCTCCCGGACAAATCAGTTTCTTCAAGTCATTTTTATACTCGTATAACAAATAAAAAATCATGCACCACCACCACGACCACACATTTTAGACTTCCTCCGCCCTCATCCCCACCACTTTCGTCGTCTTTCTGCTTTTCCTAAGCTCCACAAGAATGTTTTATGACAGACAGACATTCCCCTTGAAGCTTCCTCTGGTTCCCAATGGATAGGAGTAGAATGACCATTCACAATTAGCGAGATTAATAGAAATGATAAAAAAGAGAGAGAGAGAGAGAGACTAGACTAAACACATATACACTGACTAGCAAACTGAAAACTGAGCAAATTTTCATTTAGATGATACCGCACCGATAACAGCGGTCTTATGTATTGTAAAATGATCGGAGTACCAGACAACCGGTTCAAAATAGCCCGCCTTCTCAATCGTGTCCCAGTGTTGCGTGAACGAACAGCATCTGAAGCTTCATCACCTTATCTAAACTTCTAACCTGAAGCAACCAATAATGCAAACTAAAGAAGTACTACTAGTATCTGGAGCGCAACTCCGGCCGCCCTAGCAACCTTTCCTCATTTGCCAGACTTTCATAACATCTCATGACATTGAGTCATGACTTTCGGTTTTGAATAATTTGTCAACGGTTAATACCAGAGGGTGATGGATAAAATTAAGACAACACTGGGGAAGAGGGAGGAATTTTCGAGGTTCGGCAAGGACCCTACAACAGTCTGGAAAGATTAAATGGCCATGATTTGATCAAAATCAAGAAGAAAAAAGAAGGTTAAGACTCAAAATCACATCTCGTCCATTAATTTCACATCAATTCGATAACGTTTTAAGCAAAGCACTCTATACCAACCAGGCAACAATATTGGTCAGCCACGCAGGTCGAATTAAGGAACCCAAGTAACCTGTGTTATATTAGATTGTGCTTACCGGGTAATGCGGATAAGAATTACATAAAATAATTTATCCACGCAACGGGGGAAATAAAAAAGAAAAGACAGTAGATTCTAATTTAAAAGCTTCTAGTATACTAATTTAAGACAGTGGACGAGACCGAGTGCTTGTATTGTATATACGCTTTTCAAGAACCATGGAATACTCATTGGTGTCAACCACGCACAGGAAAATAAGAAATTGACGTATTAACAGAACAGACCCCAGAAGCCTCGACGCTCTTTATTCATCAGATATACTGCCTCCATTTATCTGTTGTGGACCTGAATTCAAAGCCGTCAAATATCCCCCAATGCTTTTTGAATATCTGCCTGCACCAGAAAATGAAAAGAGGCTGCATGTGAAATGATATTTCAGGATTGGAATGTACAGGATGAGAACATAGAACAAGGCCTCAGGTAGGGATTGTGGGAGGACATATAGTAACCAATCAAAACTGGGTCACCCCGACTTTTCTTCATTAGGCGGTGGCAAACCATAAAGAGCAACGGATGGGAACTTTTCCAGAGCATACATTTCCTCTGTGTTACTCGGACTCGGGTACGTGTCCAACTGTTTAATTCATCGACTATCTAGAATTAGGATACAGGAACACTTTTAAGGACTCGGACACGAGTGCTTGGGCACGGCAAAATTTCTAGTAAATATATGAATTACATGAAAGCAGCCAACATACAAGTCATAGCTCAGTATGGATTGAAGAATTCTAAAGTAACCAACAAGTCATAACTCAATCAGGATTCCAGTGCAACAAGTCTCCTACGTCCACGAGTTTTCTCACCCATGTCTCCTCCTCTTACATCGACATCACACCTCATAAAAGTCAAAAGTGTCCAAAAAATTCCCAACCAGTGTCGTGTCGAGTAAACACAGATACTTCGGGGTCAAATGAAGAGTCAACGTAACATAGCATTTCCTAGAATATGGTTTAACAAGAACTTAGAAAAACGAGAGACATTACGAACAAAGCAGATTAGGCTTGTAAGGTTTAAGTAATTCAATCATATTTCTCACGAGGCATGTAACATAAATGCTTAACTTTAGTTTCTTAAGCACAATGTAGCCAACTTACTGGAATTGTTTCTTTCTCTGAGAATGTAAACAAGAAAAGTTGTCGGAACTCATGGACTCAAATACTTAGGCAGTGATAGTTTTAAAAAAAAAAAGGATGCAGATGCCCATTCTAGCTTCTACCCCTTATCCATTTCCCAATTACAGCTCAAGCAAACAAGTATCTCTGAACTATAGTTTTTAACTCAAAAATCAGACCTTTCTATGTCAATGCAAAGAAGCTAATACTGCAGTCCCTTTTGTATTGATAAAATTGCTTGTTTATGTCATACCAAATCAGAATAAAATCCAAACTGAAAATAGAAAATACAATTAAAAGTTGTGAAACAAAAAGATATTGACATGTAATGCTGTCAATCCACTAAAACGTAATTGGTGTGGAGATCAGAGGATGAGAGTCTAAAGATCACCAGAAATCTAATTCTTTGAAATTTGGTGACTAGGAAGACCTAAGTTATGAACAGCATCTAAAGTTCTCAACTAAGTGGTGACCAGCATGCAGCAATGTGTACATTGAAGTTACTTGGAAAATTTTATAGACCACAACTATGCGAGACATGTGAAGGGCAGAATGGTTTAGTTTGCCTTCACTGCTTGCCAACGTGCACGATGCCATGAGTCGCAGCATGGGCCATATAACCCTTCAATGTTTAATATGGTTCACGTTTATATACCTCAATTGCTGATGGTTGAGTTGAGGTGCCATAACGGCGAATAACTCGTCCTTCCTTGTCAACAAGAAACTTGGTGAAGTTCCACTTAATGCTAGACCCAAACCAACCACCTTTACTGGCTTTCAGGAACTTATAGACTGGTGCCGCAGTTGGACCATTTACACGAACCTATACAATAAACTGTTCATCATAATTATGAAGAAAATGACAAGAAGGGCGAAATGAAAGAAATAATTCAAATTCCTTTTTTTTCCTTAGGCCCAAATCCTTTCTTAAGCTTCAGACGAGGAGCAGAAGTGGGAAGCAATTAATTACTTATACAGTAGAGTCCATGTTATAAAATGACACAAAAGCAAAATCAATCAGGACGATCTGCCCCATGTAATTCAATAAACCCTCGTACCCCTGCGAAAATTGAAGGCATTATTGTGAAGGGGTCATATACCACCTCTACTATACTGCTCCCTCACTACTACTTTGTATTTTTTAGAGCATGACTCTATGCATGCTCGATCCAAATATTAGTTTTTAACTCAAAAACCGAGTAGGGTCTGTGCAAAACCTCACGCCACTACATGATGTTTATGGATAAGTAACTAAAATCCTTCTAAACAGTCTTATAGGTGAAATCATACAGTGATTATTTTGTCAACCACACAGTTGTCTTAATTTACTAAACATACAAAAGTTAAAAATCCAAAATAACAGAAAGTTCTTTAAATTTTCTTGAGGGTAACATCGCAGACGATCACTTGAACGGACAAACTTCCGCAAGGTGATTAAATACTTCCTATTTTCTTCTCACAGAAGTAATAAACTAACTCCCTCTTTGGGCAACACGTTTTAGTTTTGCTTCTTTCTTTCTTCTAATTGCTCAATTCACTGACCATTCACTCGTGTACTTAAAATTTTTTTCAACTAAAAAACTGTTTCTTCAAGGTCATGATATATGCAGAGAATTGAACTATTCCGTAATATTGACCATCCACTCGTCAAACTTCAGACTTTTAACTAAAATCCTGTTTCTACGACAGCCATGAATGAAATCAGCAGAGAATTGATCAATTCCATAATATTGATAAAACGAGATAGAGGTGCCTAATGACAAAAACATCATATAGATGGTACCACTGGAGCGACAACTAAGCTACTAGTGTGAAGCGTGGTAGACTGCTTACCTTTGAAAAGATTGGATACTCGGCCTTGAATCGTGTGCATGCAAATTGTTCAGCTTCCTCACTTGTTCCAGGCTCTTGCTTCAAGAACTGATTGCATGGGAAGGCCAATATCTCAAAACCTGTCAATCATGATATGAAGAAGTTCGGGATACGTAGTGCAGCCACAAGAGATGCAACAGATGAGGCAAAAGTAAATCCTACCTTTATCCTTGTACTTGCTGTATAGCTCAGTCAATTGAGTGTAGTTAGAGTTAGTGAATCCACTGTTTCAGCAAAACCAATAAAGGCCCGTATGTCATAGAAGTAAAAGCTCGGATCTTTATATGACAACCATCAGTTAAAAAGAGTAGCATATAAAGCAAATTTCTCATTAGAAAAAACACAAAAAGAAAAGAAACGTAGCATTTAAATGACACAGGAGTAAATTCCAAGGATAATAGGTGATTTTTCAAACGACCACCACTACTTAAAAAGGCCAGCAAGTTGCATCGGGAAGCACCCATTACAATAATCTAAAATTTGAGTGAAAATCAAAGATCTCCATCAAACTGGACATTACCATACACTAGAAAAAGGAAATAAAAGAAAAAGGGTACCATTTGGAAGCAACATTAACAACCAGAAGCACCTTCCCCTTGTAATTGCTCAGGTCGACATCTTTTCCTTTGCTATCCTACATCAATCAGAGAAAAAGAAACCCTAATTTCTCAGAAACAAAAATTCATACTGCATTGATTATGTAAGAGAGATGCAAAGGAGTATACCTTAACAGTGAATTCGTGAATGGACGTCTGTGGGACAGAGGGAGCGGAACCCATCTCTGCGGCCAATATTACTACTAGTGGATTCTCTTTTTCGATGCGAAAGAGAATATTTCCATCTACGTTTTCATAAATGGATAATTTTGAAAAGGGCTTTGCAGCTTTAAAAATGGAAAGGGAAAGGTTCGGCCGGTTCGGCAGCACCGCTGAGAGTGGAGGAGGGCTGGGCCCCCGGTGTCGGGTTTTATGATAGCTGTAGGCTCGGTCAGCAGACGCGGAAACATTAATTTAATTTGGCAAGTCAATTTTCGAAAGTGTATGTCTAGTTGCACACGTTCAAATTGAGGACGGAAGGTGTAACATCATTTGTACATGGTGTAACATCATCTGTACAAGGTGTAATAATAGAACAACAGCGAGTAACAATAGAATAATATTTTTGTGAGTCCCACACGGCATAAAAATCGAGTTACAAGACGTGATGTGAGCCGCACAAATTTTTGAGGCCTCATCCAGGCCGTGAATTGCCTGGGAGAGACAACCGTCCAGGCCCCTCGTCCGTTGAAATGTATCTGAGGCCTTAAATTTTTTTAAAAGATAAAAATTATTAAAAAAATATAATACAAGAGAAGGCGATAATTACTGAGACAATGCTTTAGTAACGATAGTTATGATAACGAAACAGTTTTTTACCTGATATAACAGGTTGTTGTACTTTTAGCGACCATTTGATTACTTGATGGACATGTCCACCTAAATAGGATAACACTTAAAGATAAAAAAGTAAGTTTCCCATCTAAAATAGTAAGTTAACCGTAATAAATTAGTAATTTTTATACTTCAAAAGGTAAATTGGAATAAATATTAAACTTACTTTTTAGAGAGTAAGTTTAATTCAAGTAATAGTAAGTTTTTATACATAAATAGTAATTTTTACTGATAACATGGTAAATTTGATTAATAATCAAAACTTACTAATTTATGGGACACATGTACTATTTTACTTTAAAACATATTTCAAACTAGTATTAAGAAATTTATTTGAAATAACAATAAGATGTTTTATTAATGATTAATACTTAGTACCTTAGTTAGTAAATACTCGTAATATACCTATATAATACATGATTATAGGCATAATTTAAACAATTTTTTATTTATACATTTTAAAATACTATGAAAAAAAGTTTGACTTTTCACGTAATCTCGTAAAATATGTAATAAAATTTTGTCATATTATAAATTTTTAATCATTTTCAATTTTTGAAAAATTTGAAAGCTTGGATAACAATAACAACAAATCTTCCTAGTTATAAATAGAATATCACTTGTTTATATATCACAATTTTTATAATTTAACACCTATGAATATAATAAGATGATAAAGTTTTAATAAATTTACATCTGGGACACAAGAAATAATACGAGTTAAAGCTCAAACAAAATGAGAAATATTATAACAATAAAAATGACAAAATTAGTATAACAATTAATATAAGAAAATCAGTATGATTTGGACTTTTTTCCTTGGGAGATTGTTCATAAAAATGGGATCCAACAATTATAAATGAAAATCACATGCATATATAATCTATTGTATAATTTAAATTAAATTTAGTTCACGGATAAAATGGTCCTAAAATAATTAGTACATTATGATACAATGTTATTTTAACAACAAATTTTTTTTTTTTTACTAAAAGTCTCAAATATCCATGACATACATATGAGGGATATTTTACCATATTTGTATCTGACATCTAATCATTAAAGTTAATTTGAGGAAAAATATTTTTGACAATAGAATTATTTTGAATTTGGTTAACAAGTTGAGATTTTTTAAACAATAAAAGTGAAATATTTTGGGAACTTAGTTGTTTATTTTCCCATAATTAAAAATTGCTATATTTTAGCAATTGTTGCCATTGACTTTTCATTTTGTAGACTAATTTTTATCAATGCAAAATTAATTTTATTAACAATAATTGAAGTTCCATTGATCCAAGGATTGGCATTCTATTTCTATTATTTTATATGTAAATATTTAACCTAATATTATTTCTATTTCTATTATTGTTTTTGTACACAAGATATATTGGGTAGAATTTAAACGTATTGGTTCATTGAGCACCCTTAAAAATGCCCTTTACAAACTTGCTAACGACAGTTGGGTTTGCTCTCGCTGGTTAACAAATTAGCACCGGCAATGGCAGGGTTATACTGCCCGCCCAGAGATGACTAGCACCGGCGGGATTATGCTACCACCTAGAGATGGTAAACGAGAATGCGTTGTGTAATTGCTATATATTATGTGAATTATATACATATATTAGTGCTTGAAAAAAATTTTGGAATAGTATGTCATCTAAAAAATGGTTGTTTTTGGATTGGCTGTTTTTTGGGGTGTTTTTGAAAAATTTTGCTGTAACAGAGTTTTTAGATTATATTTTGGGATATTTAAGAATAGAAGAGTTTCTAGAAAATATTTTCAGATATTTTTTAAAATTTTAAAAAATTTAAACTAATTTTTAGGTTACCTTTTAGAGTACTTTTTAAAAATTGGAATTGTATTTGAAAAACTAGTTTTTGAAAAACACTTCCATCCAAACAGTTAATATAGAAAATTTAAAAAAATTTTAAAAATATAGAAAGAAAATGATGAGCTAAGCCTTGGCTTTCTCCCAAAAAAAGAAAAAGAAAAAGAAAAAGAGGCAAGTATTAACACGCTGTAAAGATCAAGTATTAACACATCATACAGAATAGCTCGATAGACTCTTGTTATTTTGTTGTAAACATCAGAGCAGCATATTGACAATTTATTCATTATTGTATTTGTAATTTGTCATCATAAACAAATTAGCAGTGGCAATTTTTGACATGACACTGCAACACGACCCCCAATTAACAAATATTAAGATGATCCAAACTCAGGTTCCGTTTGATAAAACTGAATCTGAATTCTGAAGTCTGAATTCTGAAATCTGAATACTGAAACAATTAATTTGTTGAATTTTAAGCACTGAAAAAACTATATGAATGTCTGAATTTTAATACTAAACTTATTTATACTGTTTGATAAATATTTGTAACTGAATGCTTAATAAGTTTAATTTGATAATTTTGCCCTTATATCCTTTCATTCAAAAAAGAAATAGAATCTATGATTTAATTAGTTTAAAATTATTAGGTATGAAATGACAATATTTATTTTTAAATCAAATTAATATAAAAGATGAAATATATTATGTGTAGAGTATGGAGAAGACGTGAAAGTCATTAAAAAGGGAGAAAAGAGAAACTAAAAATCGTTAGATAGAGAATATTATGTTGTTTAATTAGATAAGAATTTTGAACATAATTAACAAACAAGGGTAGATTTGGTAGATAAGATAAGGTAGTTGAAGTAATTCTATTGATTCTTATCAGAATTAAGCATTCAGTTAGGATTCTTGTGCTGAAAAAAATACAAACAGATTCAGCACTGCTTAATAAGTTCAGCAAATAGATTTTCATTTATCAAACACTCAAAACATCTGAATGTCTGAAAAAATTCAGATTCAGCACTTTTTTATGTTATCAAACAGATCCTCAATTAGTTCATTGGTGGGTTAACCTATTAGCAAACCGAATGTGAACAGGTTGGGTTGGATCAATCCTTGAGGTGACACACTTATCCAATAAAATGGCTAATTTATAGTTTTTAAGCGCTACAAAGACTATTTTGAGCAATTGATAACAACTCACTACAATCAAATTTGGCTTGAATATTTTAATTAAAATTTTTAAGGACTCAAAAGTTTTATATCTTATCATATATGGGACTATTAGACTGCATTTTTGTTAGATACTGAAGATTTATAACTTATATTATGCATATTCGTTCGGATTAGCCGTTTTTGGGGGTATTTTTGAAAAATTTTGTTGTACCAGAGTTTTTAGATTATATTTTGGAATATTTTCAGAAAATATTTTGGGATATTTAAGAGTAGAAGAGTTTCTAGAATATATTTTGAGATATTTTTTAAAATTTAAACTAATTTTTAGATTACGTTTTAGAGTACTTCTTAAAAATTGGAATTGTATTTGAAAAACTAGTTTTTGAAAAACACTCCCATCCAAACAGATATTTTGAAAAATATAAATTTAATGTTTTACTATGTATTGCAATGTTAAACTTTATTTAATTCTTTTAATGAAAACTTTATTTTTAAGATTTTGGACTTTGTTTTATGACTTGGAAGCTTTATTGTGTATTTTGATAATAGCAAATATTGGATGGATTATATGATAAAATGGGTAAAAATATGTTAATAAGATGTTAAGAGTTGTTTTCAGCATAGGTTAGTACTAGTACTCAATGCACACTCAATGTGTGTGTGCAATCAAAAAATACATAATATTTATGATAATATATTTTAATAATTTATTACTGAAGCAAACTTTAATCTTCTAAATATTTTTTCATAAAATAATTTTATATTGATAATTATAATGCTTAGAAGTAGTTATATTGAAAACACATACTTAAATAGTTAAAAGTATAAATAGTCATAAATAATTATATGCAGTTAAAATAAATTTTTATAAGAAAAAAAAGAAAATTCATAAAGCAACGATAAATATTAATCCCAAACCCCTCCTCAGCCTTTATATATATAATATAGATGTTAATCTTGTAAAACAGTGAATTATGTCAAAATGATTTTAACCGCATAAAATATTTAATAGATTGTGTGGAGTGTTACAGCTCTACTTGTATATGTAGATGACATCATCATCACTGGGAATGATCCAATTGAAAGAGAAACACTCAAAAAGTGTTTAGCAAAAGAGTTTGAAATTTAAAAAAAAATGGAGAGTGGTAATAGCTAGCGTCAGTCTGAGTGTTTCCCTCTCCCCTTTCTCCCATATCGGTCCAGTGAGGGTTGAGTGACGAGAGTTTAAGTCTCTTGGTCCAACTTGAAAGTCAACAATTGCCTTTTGAATTGGGTTGAGGATTAGGTTTAAAAATTTCTTCCTCTCTATTGTTGGAAAAAAAAAAAGAGTTTGAAATTAAAGAACTAGAGAGGCTGAAAAAAGTAAAGCCAGAGCAGAGGTTTTTCGACCCAAATACAATAATGACACAACACAATCCATTACGACCGTACACAAAGTGTCCATACAAAAAATTAAGCACAGATGAGAGTGACATAATGCCATTAACACTGGGAAGTTTGTACACCTTCAGCGGATGCAAAGTGTTTAAATGCTAAAAACCATCCCTATCAACACATTCTGGAAGATTGTTCAGAACAAAATCACAAGCTAGGCTCCAGGGCTCGGCTGTGGTTGGAATGCAAACAAAAATAAATGGGGCATTACTTTTCTTAACGTATTCAACAAACAAAGTTGCGGTATGATTGCATTGTTAAGATTTTCTCAAAATATAGATATTGAATAACAACCATCGAAATGATTGCATTGTTAGCAGCGGGGCACCCTGTGGGGTTTCCTATCCCACATCGAAATGGGAGGGTTGGGTTTCTGGGTAGACTGCCGGCTTTTGAAGGTTGTTCGGGGATCTAGGTTTATTTACGCAAAAGTCTGAGTTTCTCAGCTTTGGCAAAAAAAAAATAACAACCATCGGGGAAAGGAAAATAGAAAATCCGGCAGTTGGTACCATTTCCTATTGCAAGAATATTACACTCCACAAGGAACAAAATGTTTGTGACATCGAGGAATCTCCAGCTTCAATCATTCTGATCAGCTGGGACGAAATTATACTATCTGGAATGTACAAGCAACATTTAGATTTTTACAGAGACTAAGCAGAGCCACGAGGAAAAGAAGAAAGGGTCGTCCTATAATTTTTGCCAAAAAGTTGATGACAAGTCCTATGCCACGCTACTGAAATAAATAGGACTACTAAAAGTTTCCAGAGTTTCAAAAAACTATATATTAAGGTACCAAACTCGCAGCCTCAGGGATACAGCTCCCTTTCCAATTACTCGAGGGGATTCATAAATACATATTTACAGTCACGTAATGGCTATGCTGTTATTTCCCTTCGTGGACATCCTCCTCATCAACGGTACATATCTTATACAAGGTACAGATCAGCCAAAAATTCTCCATATTTTGAACAAGCCGCAAAAAGAAACCGGTTGCACCTATCAACAATATCCCAACAAATTGAAGGTTTCCTCATTTTTCTTTAACTAATTGAACCAGAGATACCAAAATACTCAAAGGAAGATGACAAGGCGGAACCATATACCATTCACTTGAAGCCATTGATGATTACTCATCTCGGTCTCCAGCAGTTGGGACCTGTAATACAGAGAAAACCAAAATTAGGCCAAAAACACAATACAAACCGGTTCCCTCCTGTAGAGTTTCATAAAAGCTGCATACAAGTAATGCAAACCATTCCCCAGCATGCAACCTTCAAAGTTTCCTTGTCTTTTGAACAAACTTCTTGCTTAATCAGCCCTACCTACACCAACTCGCATAAATTGGCCTTATATAGAGTCTATATAATAAATAATAAAAGGATAGAAAGCCGCCTTCCGCAGGATTATATGGCACAAGCTACATGGTAACCCCTATTAATCTCATGTTACCATGTGTCTACTGCCTTTCAAGTAAATTTGATGGACAACCTGTTACTACTTTTCTCCTTAAACCTTTGCATACATTTTTATCTCCATTTTCACTTCTCATCACCCATCAGAATCTTTTCACTACCAGAAACTTGTGCCAATCTCCCTATACCCTCCCTCAAGCAAACTCAAATAAATGTTGGCTTCCAATTGAGTAAAAAAGGACATCAGGCAGTAATTGTAAAGGGAATATGGTGTGATATTCCTAGGAAAAAGTGCAGGAAAAAATACCTCTAGCTGCCACAGGTATTGGACCCCCAGAAGGGGGCCTATGAGGCATATGATTCATGGCTCGGGGAGGAAAAGCCCAATGATTGCTTGGTGGTGCTGCTTCACCAAGTTGGCTGGAAAATGGAGCGGGTGCACAAGGCATTCTTGATCCCTCAAGATACCGTGGCCCTGAAAAGAAGTTTCTTAATTCTTACTACTGCCAGCCATGCAAATTGGAGGGGGGAAGGAAAAACAGAATGCAACTCAGAACACCGATAAAAGCTAAGGAGAATCTTTACCAGGAAAAGGTGGGGGAGCCCTCCACCGCTCTCCAATATCATGTGGTGCCAATTTCATCCTATCACAATCTCTGTAAAAGTTTCCATTATCAGTGTTCTGTAAATGGAATCTGGTGGGGTGGGACGCTGGTGGGATATCCCTCGACTGTGCTCGATGATCAACTTGCATGTAGGAAAACTGATTAGATGGAGCAGGATGAGGCGGACGTAAATGGAAACCCTTGTTGAATGCACCATCAGCTGGTGGATTATTTACTGTTCGAACTGGTGGATGGGAGACAGGTGGGCTACTGAATGAACAATTAGTTGAGTTTGGTATTTGTTTTGGCACCTGAGAATGAAAATCAATATGGCCATGTGAAGAACATTGAGCTGTCTCAGAAATCGAAAGGTTGAATCCTGGTGCAATAGACTGATCTGCAGTAGATTTTTGCAAGTCATCTTCTATGTTCTGCAAATCCATATTGCATGATATTAAAATTAGAAATTCTGAAATGTCCTGTCAATAAAACTCAGCCATATGAAAACTGAGAACAAATATGAAAGGAACACTAATACTCTGAATCTGAGTTTACCTGTGAACAAGTAAAGAGCTTAGAATTAAGACTATTTGCAATGCAATCAGGCCTTTCAGATGGAAGAGGAAGAGACGCTCGAGGAACTGGGAGTAGGGGTGGAGGTGGGGGTGGAGGAGATACTGGCAGAGGAGGAGACATTGGTGGAACATCCTTGGGTAATGGAGGAGCAAAGACCGCAGAAGCTGGATTTCCAATTGAATGATGTGATGCATGCAGAATATCAGTTCCCGCACTATGACTAGTGGAAACAACAGCATCAGAAGAGGGAGCCACATCCTCCATTTCAAGCTCACCATCAACATCTTCCAAGATATGACGATGCTTCTCAACTACAGGGACAGGCTTCATATTTCCTTCAGATTTTTCAGTGTCACGTTCAGGAGTGACTGCCTCGAAACTCTCTCCATCAGAATCACTTCCATCATCTTCATCCCTCAACATAGGAGGCATGCAGAATCCAGGAAGTTGAATACTTGAATTGCTGAAACAACAGAAGAAGATTGAATAATGACAATCCAGTAGCTCACCCCAGAAATAAACAAATAAAAAGAAAAAGGAACGAGTAACACAAGAATTAATAGACCATTGAAGATAGTAAAATTTAAACTACTTCCCTGTCGTTTCCTCTAAATAGTTTGTAATGCATAAAAATTTATATCAAACGAGATGGAGGAGCCATACCTTCCATATTCATCAACATTCATGCCCTCCATTTCTCTAATTGGATCATCAAATGCCCTTTCATTTCGTAAAGGACGACGTGAGAACGCTCTAGAACAAGATGAACCACAGAGAGAATCGAGTTCCCGGATATGGTGGCGAACAATGGATTCTGGGAGGATCCTTCTTTCCTGCCAGACCCTCAAAACCTTTCAAGTAAAATCACAGCAATGTTAGGAACTAAAATTCAAGAATACATGTACAAATAACTGTTCACAACATAGAACATCAATTAAAGAAGAAATCTTACTCACTTTCAAGCACTGCCTACGATTTTCCTGAGAACTACTTCCAGGAGGAGCAGCAGCTGACAATAAACGTGGCAATACTGCTAGAATCGCTGAAGGATATATGCCACCAACATCACCTGAAATTTTGACATTTCAGCCCAACTACCCACATACAGCAATTAATGTAATAATGGAAGTCTTAACTGGAAAAAAAATCACCATATATCGAAATTCATAAAAAGATAAACATACCTTTCAAGCCCCTTGAGCACTGCGCAATAGAGTCAACTAGAAAGAATAAGTCCACTCTTCGGTGTAAACTTGATTCTCGTTCCAAACTCCGTGCAAGAATTTCTACCACCTAAGAGTGAATGAGTGAGAGAGAGAGAGAGAGAGAAAGAGAGAGAGATTTAAGTTTTCCACCAACATCAAAGGATGAAACTACCAACAATACTCAAATTTAATGTACACATTTAATCTTCTATGCATTACATTCATGTTCATGATACAGTACATCCTCCTACCTTAGGATACATATATTTCTTTAATAGATTGATTATCACAAAATACAATAATTTAGACCCCAACAAAATTGAATATACCACATGCACCTTTTTTCACTTTAAAATTGGAACATACAGAATTAGCCAAACCAGTTCGTCATATGCCTGTATGTTCTACTATTTTGAAAAACATACAGAGTTGTGCAGGGTCCATCTACAACATGGACTTTTGATTGGATGGAGTAGTATTCACCATTTGAACTGCATTGCAATTTAACAACGGAAGAAATGAATTGTCATAGGAACTATAAAATCACATGATTTAACAATTTCATCACCAATCTATTGCATCAATGATTTTGTAAGAGAGGAAATATAAAAAGGATTTGTACAAAGGCCATGCTTGGATGGCTAATTAATGAAGTGCACAATTTTCGGCTATTCATTGCGAAGAGTATATGCACAAAACAAACTACTAAATTTACACAATGAAAATGGATATAGGGTGTGAAAGCCCATACATATCCTTTGTAAAAATATCTCAAACGCATGCCCTTTCTATAAGAGTATCCCAAGGACCCCCCCCTCCTTTTTTTCCACAAATTTTCCAACACGGGTGTTTGTATAAAACTTATATATTTTCAAGGAAAATTTGTCATTTGATTAACCTTCCTTGTTCTTAACATGCAAACCATATTTCAGGAATTAAAATTTTTTTTTTTTGAAGTTTTGTATCTCTAGCTTCTAATTAAAAAAAAACCTTGAAAATTGAACATCTCTTAAGGCCTTCAGGTCACACAAAATATGGCAAATGAGGAACATATATTGTTATCATCTGCTTACAAGAACCAAATGCTCAATATAAATATATCAACATGAGCAATGGAACCCAACAGTTTCAAACTCAAAGACAGTCAGACATCCTTTCACTAAATGATAAATCCACTAGAACGAGTCTCTCATCTAAAATATCTGGGAAATGACAGGACCAAAACCAAACAATAAATTAGTCCAATAAACCTAAATTAAAGCCTTCCAAATTTAAACTTATAACTTTAACTTGACTCAAGCATTAAAGTTTATCAAACTTTTGTAGCCCAAAGTAGCAATGCATCTTTCCATGAATACTGCAATCTAAGAATCCCTCAGAGTCACCAAAATTGTTAACAAGTTTGAAAAAAAAAATGAATAAATTGCTACTGCAATTGAACACCTAATTAACCAACACTCCTGGCGGTAAAAGGATGAATTGATTTTACAAGTTCATTCAAGATGACCAACCAAGCCTGATAATCACACTTCCATTTTCATGTATCATAAAAACATTCATCATCCCAAGTAGGCCAAAGAGGAACATGCATGAACCAAGACCAATGAAAATTAGAGTAAATGGCATAAGAGGACTTTTAGGTATATAATATTCTTTCTGATTCATGCTTATCTCACATAAACCACTTAATTGTGTTTCTTTCCAATTGAATAATCCTGAAAAAATTCTCATCACTAGAGCTTTTGTTTTCAATTTTTCTGATCTTGGACTCAAGATAACCTAGATTGTATTGTTTCATACAACCTACCGGATCACATATCTTTCACTTATAGCTCAGCAGAACCAGCTGAGTTTAACTGGGACATACTTGATTCACAAACACATACAAAGGATTTTTCTATATTCGTAACAATCCTCTCCCACACTAGGTAAATAGCACAAGCAGTTTAACAGTAAGTCTGCTAACCTGATGCAACCTTAATTTCACTCCATGACAATAATCCTCAATTATGAACTTCCAAAAGAACCTTAAAAACCAAAACAAATAACTAGCATATATCCAGAACTATATATGTACAAACTCATAAATCATTGAAAGGAAATGCATTATAAAAGTCGAACAAGGTCGAACAAGGTTTTTTTTGAGCTTGCTTACAATTCTAAACTGATCCTTTCAGTTATTAAATGACTAAAATTTTGACAGTTACTGGTAGCATAATGAAATAAAAATAACCAAATACACACTCAAGATCTTTGCTTTCTGAAACTAAAATGGTGCTTGATTAGGGAATAGGGAAAATGCACCAGATAACCCATTAAAATCCTGTAAATACATCAGGAGAAGCATCAAGACAACACCTCAATTGCAAAGCAAAGCCGCAAGAAAAACAACCATGGCATTTTTTTTTGCTGACGCTAAAATGTGTCTAAATAGCTTCTTCTAGTTGCCCAAAAAAGTATCCACTATCAACAGTCAAAGCTCATATGGACTATTCAATTCCATTAAGGGGATTTTCTTCTGCAAATATGCATAATTTTCAATTTCATACTTTGGTATATCTATAAAGAGGACACAAACTATAAATGTCCTCCATCTAAAAGGCCAGCCAAAAAGGGACAAAGGAAAATGACGCGAAGAACAAAACCTACCTTAGCAGCAACACCAAATTTTGCACACTCAATGGCACTACGCGTCGCTCGACCAATGCTTTCCTTTGTCCTTGTTAGTAATCCAAGAATAGACTCAAAAGATGTCAGAGCAACATTAGCTTCTTTGTAGTTCCATTTCTCAGCAAATTTTTGAGTCTCATGATGGGAATGAACAGCAGGGCTACAAGAACCATTAACTTGGATAGAATTATTAACTGATACAGGTGCATTGCTGGTTGAATTATGCGGTGTTGCACGTATAATGGAGTCCAAACCATCAGTCAGAGATGATGACGACTGGGTAACTGAAACTGTTTTATCCCCTGAATGATCATCAGAGATAGAATTAGAGTGAGAGTGATCTTGATCCTCTTTGCCATTAGTCATAACATCCATGTGAGCTGAAGATAACATAGAATCACAATCCCTTATGGTGGGTCCAGTTGCTCCAACATCCTTCAACCTATGGAAAAATTCATAATCAATTCAGTGTGGAAAAAAATTATAAAATTGTAAAACTTCAAAAATATATTTACAACAGCGAGATAGTTAAAAAGGATACAAGAGCTCGGTACAAAAAAGAAAGGTAATTAATTACTCAGTTGATAATCATAGATAAGAAAGCATATCAAAATATGGTTGGCACACTCACAATTCATTAACTTGTTTCTTGTCCTCTAATATGAATTGACACGACTTCATAGTTTCATCAAATTTGGCATCTGCATTATCCGTTTGCATATTGGTAGCACTACGTGGTGACTGAATGGTGGCATCTTCCGCTGCTAGAAGATTAGAACTTAACAGGGATGTTTTATCATCAAGAGTTTCCGGAGACTTGCCCAAATCAGTTTTTCCATTTGTGCAACCACCTTTTAATGGCAAGACCGCATCCAGTGAACCATTAGTACTCACATGGGCCTCTTTAGTTGACAAAGATTTGGGGCATTCTAAAATTAAAGCAGCATCAATGAGGTCACCAGAAGAAGATTCTAAAAGATTTTTACCATCAGAATAATCCACATCATCTTTGCATGACTTACTCTTTGAGCTATCATCACTGGAGCGAATTGCCACCACTCCCGAACATATCCTAACTTGTTCTATTGGCAAGTCAGACTGCACAGAAAACTCAGAGACACCATCCCGAGAATCATTATTACTAAGATTTTCCTCTGCTAAACTGACTCCAAATTGACTGACTGACTGTCTTTCCAGAGAGAACTTTGTGTGGTCATCTGACGACGAAGAAAATCCATTAGTGTCAGCATTTGTTGTTGATGGTCCATCTGAAGCTATTTGATTGTCTTCAGCTGCATTCGCTGACATGGCCTCCAATGCACGATGCAAGCGTTTTGATGGAGGTAAAGCAGCTTCACCATCTAAAGAACTACCGAAGTGTTGATTCTTTCTTACTTCCCATAAGTGACACTTCATGGCATGAGAATTATTTAATGGTGGTGAATTTTCTACATCTCCTTTCACAGTAGAAGGGTTCTGATCTGTAGAACCATCTCCTTCCCGATCGGATGACACATGGACATGATCCGAAAGGCTATTACAAACGTCTGGCCGCTTCTCTTCAGTATCTAATGAAGTTTCAGGTTCACGTCCAGTAGATGATGCCCTACCCATACGAACCCTAGCTCTTTTGACCAAAGGCAGGTGCTCATCACCATCTTCCTTGGGGAATCTTTCAGTTGATCTCTCTTGATCTCCAGGCAAGATACGTTCACCCTTAACAAGATCAGCATCTGAATCTACCTTTTCATCTGGTCTAGCATTGAATTCGACAACCTCAGAATTAGGCCTTTTTCTATTAGGCATCCTTCTCTTTTTATGGATGCCATTTCTTTGGAAGTCAAGCCTTTGGTTCTCAACATTTCTTTGAGCAAGTTCAATAACAGAGTCGGGATGTGTATCCTTACATTCAGACTCAACAGTGCTGCCCTCATTCAAGCTCAGTGAATCAGAGTCCGCTGTCAAGATTTCTGAGTCATTCCCTTCAATACTACAATTTGAAATCAAATCATGCGAATCCATATCATGGCCAGTTAAAACATCAGGTGATTTTCTAATCCTTTTATTTCTCCTCCCAGATCCATCCCGAAATACACTAGCTGTGACCCCAGAGTGGGTTATGAAATTTTTAACTTTACTAGAATCTGCCCTGCTTCTAGCCCGTCGAGCAGAGGGAGGCCTTCTACGTGTGAAACATTTTTGTGACCTATTGCTCTCAACAATTTTTCTGTAGGAGTCAGTATTTGCCCAGGCCATTTCTGTAACAACCTCATTTTCAGGCATTCCTCTGTCTGGCAAATCTTCTTGTCCATTTACAGCAGTACCACTCTTGGATTTCACACCCACATCATCTTCTTCTGCAGTAGAATGTGTCTTTTTCTGACATAAATGAAATGTTGTACCAGCAGCTTCACCATTTGCATAAGATTTGATTGATAGTTCCCCAGAGTTATTTTCACTGGCCAGCGTACCTTCAACTGTGGTGTTTGCATTATTGACTTGATCTTGCCTTTTCAGCTTCTCATAGCTTTCAATTATCTCATGCACAGCACGAACAAAATCAGAACCTTTTCCATGACGTCTGCCTAGAAGAGATTCCTTTTTCTCTTCAGTAAACGCTTCAACATCAGCAGGATTACAGAAGGCTCTGTAACGACAGAGAAAAAACAAAATATCAAAAAATGTTGCATATATATATTTAACACAAATAATTGAATCCTGGCCTACAACTTCACTTGTATTTATCTATTTTGATACCATTATTTGTTGTCATGTGTTTGGTGTGCATGCTTAGTTTATTTGGTTTGAACATTTTGTTATGTTGAGCTGGTTTTTACATTTTGTTACATTGGGCAAAAGTCAATCAAACAATAAGGTGAAAGCTGCCATAGCCAACAGGCTAGATCCATCCAAAGAAAAGGAAGAAGAAAGGATGCTAAATCCCCACCATTCCACCATGCCATCAACTAAAAATAAGAAAGCCCTAACTTTCTCTAATAATGCCCCTCAAGTCTCCAAATTTTTTATTTCACCACAAAATTCAAACAAACCCAAAAAAGCAAAACCACAACATGTTATTCCCACTGAGAGGAGCAAAAGACTGGATTAGGAGCTGAATTTTAAGAAATCTAATAACAAAAGACAAGTGCATCAAACACCCAAAAAAAACTCCAAAAAGATCATCTGTTGAGCACACGTAAGTCCACGGAAACAACATTCTATCTGCACATCACCTAATTGTAAGTGTCTCCTGCTTGTTGTGTCAATATGTCATCCTTGTACTATGTCTTGGACATATAGTACGGAGAGAGACAAGTAATTATACTGGGTTAACCAGTGAGATAGTCCTAAAGGTCAACTGGAGTAAGAAGCAGACCGAGTAACAGGAAAAAAGGAATGAGAGAAAGACAGAACAAAGGCCACTTGGAACTATCAATGTTTTAAGAATTTCCATCAGCACATAAACTCAGCCACCCCAAATTGACTTCTAACCTGACAAACTTGGACCTATTTAAGTTCTATATCAGTTATTCTAGATAAATCAACAATGAAGTTACATCATGGATTAACTTATGGACCAGATGTAGACCAAGGGACTACACGACCCTTGCAACAATCCTTCAATTAGGTGCTCCAAGGCCAAGAAATGGTGTTTTGACTATCCCCAGCAGTGGAAAAAAGTTAACACTAAAATGCTTAGCAATGATTCGTAAGTTAGTCAATTACCTAGATTTCAAGAGATATACAGTGGCCTCCAAGCTTAAGGGGCAAAACAAAGATGAAAAATGAAACCTCAAATGTCAAACAGATAAAAGAATAATACTTACCTAGTTATCTCTAGATAGTGCCCAAAAAATTTTATGCATATAGCCACCCAATGCATGAACAAACAGACATCATGTGCAGATTAGACAAATGTAACAACATAGACTTTTACTGAAATGTAATACCATTGACGTATGTAATGCCATTTAACAGGAAAACCAAATAGCCACAAGAGAAGAAGCAATAGAACTCACATCTGTTGAGTTCCAAAAAAGTAGACAAGTACTTTCTTCCAGTCCGTAGCATAACCCCACTTCTCCGGCTCACTTACCTGCAAACAGCAACCAAGCAGGGTCAATTTACTCTTTCTACTGTATTCATTCTTTTGAAGAGGATTAAACAACATTCAAATTAACAAGTATAAAATAACTATCGTCTATATAATTAGGCCAGGCGCAAAAAGAGGAATATATTACAATTGCAATTGAAATGACTTGCCATGTTCCAAAATTCACTATCAACTACAGCGTGAATAAAATTGACTACTTGAAGAATGGGACAGCTAAATACTGGTGTTGGGACCTGTATTTTGCCTTCAACCCTTTTAATGTAGAGAGAGAGAGAGAGCCTATCATATTTTGTCACCTTAAAGCTAACAAAACATTCTGTAGCTAAACTCCTGTTTAAGTTTATGCTTCTTGAACACACTGATGGAACAATAATTCAAAATTCTCACATGCAGAAACACCAAATGACACTAGGCATTTCATTTAGCAAAAGCATTTGATCTAGATAGATTGATATATTTAGTCAACTTTTCACACGATTCTCCTTCTAAATGAAAATGATACAAGCCAACAGAATCACCTAAACAAACAAATGGGAAAAAAAAAGCAAGGAAAAAGAAACCACAGCCTCTTGGCATCAAATTAATTCTTTTGGGAGGAAACTGAAAGATTGCCAGATTGCTAAACCGATAAAGCATGACATGTTCAAGTACTAGCTAGCAAGCATTTCTAGAGAAATGTAATTGGAGTGACACCTAAAGTAATATCATTAGAAAAATTCATAAAAGTAGTAGTGAGCTCATCTAACAAATAAAAAGGAGCAGACATCTCTTTGCAGAATAAAAGTTGAGCCTTATTGTGCTTTTTGGTTTGACCCATACTGCGCTTCTGTTAGTAGTTCATAGGCCCTCCTTGCAGCAGTGAAATTTTGCCATGGTCCAGAGTTTTAAATAAACTAAATTTCCTAATTTCATCCTGTTCTACCATTTTTATGTTGTATAGGAAATCTCAGTCTCACTCAATGCCAGAATAAGTCCTCGGACAACTCCTTATGAAGTTACAATACTGGGCCTACCAAAGAAAAAATACAGATGCGAGATCCCCACCAACCCAAGGTTTACGAGACTCATTTCTAAGTCCAAAACGCATAGAACCATAAAATGTGGAGTTCCCTCTACCCTTTCCTTGAAAAATTATATGTTCAATTCAACTAGTTATGAAGCAAATACAGCCTCACCAAGTAAGCCACGAATAAAACCACTCTTTCCATCTAACAGAACCAGGAACAGCCATATGCAGTGAAAAGGGGACCAAATAATTAAACTTGGCATCAGATCCACAACCACTAACACACATCAACGAAATCTAAACCATATTCTGAAAATCTCGAGGAAATTATGACAAGAGAAAAAACTTACTAGCTAAGTGGGGGAGACTAAAAAAATATGAGCTAAGTTTTTTTTTTTTTTGGGGGGGGGGGGGGGGGGGAGGGGGATGGGAAGAGAGAAAGAGAAAGTCTGAACCAAAAAGCTAGTTGGAACATATAAGCAGTAGACATACCGTAGCAGGCCAGGCCGGAAAACCTTTAACTTTGGCAAGAACGAGATCACCAACCTTCCATTGTCGGCGAGCCGCGGCGGCGGCTGCGGCCTTATTGGCACCTTTTCTTCGACTTGGCGCCATGAGGACCCAAAATATCAGAGAGGTGGGAATCAAATTAAGGGCATGCGGAGAGTAAAAGATAAAAAGGAAGACGAATTGGAGGTCTTTGTGGATGAAAAAACACCTAAATCACCCACTTCTTTATAGAAAAAGCAAGCGCTTTTCAACTTCCTAGGTTTTGCAACACAAGATTTGATCTTTCGTGGCCCAGGCATTGAAAGATCATTCGCTCCCAAGAAGAAAAAATAACCTGCCGGCGACCAAAGAAAATGTCGAATTGAGAAACCCAAAATATATAAAATTAAGGAAAGCCTGTTTGGGGGGCTTTAAAACCCTAACCCTAATAAGCTTGTTAGAGAAAGGAAGTGGAAGGGAGGGGCGGGGGCTGTAAGAGAGTTTTGTGGAAGAGAAGCGGATAAAAATAAAAATACAAAATAAAATGGAATACTGCAGCAGCAGCAGCAGGTACACTACTAGTACGGTATATGAGAAATGGTTTTTGGGGCTGAGGAGGATTGGCAGGTGCTAACTGCTAAGCTGCGCCTGCGCCGCGGATGTTTAGGTTAAGGGGTAGTTGACTAACGTGCGCGGTGTGCGGTGATTGTTTGCCCTGCGGTCCACCTGTCAAAGTAGTTTCTTTCTTTGAAAAGAAATTACCTATTGTCGCGTGACAGGCATACTTTCAAAATTAAGTCCGTTATTACGTATATATAACATCGATAGCCAGCTTCTATAATGAATCGATCCAATTTTATCAAATGAATCAATTTGTGTGAGCCACCACTTTAATAACCATGCAAGCACTAGTAATTTTGGTTTGTCTGGGAGATTATTTGAAATAATTTTTGAAAAAATTTATTGTAATATTTTATTAATGTGTTATATGTAAAAAAAAATGATGATTAAAAAATATTTTTATAATGTAAGTGAATGAATTTATAAAAATAATTTACTGTACAAACATCTATTTTATTTGTGTGGGATTTCGAGTTTTTTTTTTAAAAGAAAAAACCGACGTCCCTCTGTCATCAACTGCAAGTCAGACATCAACCTACAGCAGATCATCAACCGGGACAGGAATTCCCGTCGCGTTAACGCCTGTTGGCATGAACTTTGACAGAATTGGGCTAGCCCATTTCCTTACGGCTTGGACACCACCGGACCCACTCCAGTGGCCATCTGGTGGATATGCCATTGCCTGAATGGAATGCGAATAATATTATTGTCCTTGTGGCCCAACATATCCCCACAGATCATTTGAAATGTGCGTTCACTAGCCTGTTGGGCCAATGGGACGACAATTACCAGCCGTGTTTATCGTCTCTTGTTTAGGATTCTTTTTTTTTTTTTTTTTTTTTGGGGTTAATAGAAGGAAAATAAAAAGGCTGGTAATGTCTCTATGAACACGGGCGCCTAGCAAAACGCAAACCTAAGCCAGATGCTTAATAATTTCCTTTGCTGGTAAATTATTCTTGGTGCATCGATATCGAAGAAGAATCTCATTAATAGATGTGCCATGAATAAAACAGCTACAACTTGAGGGAAACTGCGTTGAGATTTGAAATGGTATGGACACAATGCACTTTGCTTCCCCTTTGAAGTTGGTTTTGTTTCGTTTATCAAGAACTAGGAACATTGGAAAAAAGAATAAAAATAAATTTATGCACCTTTTTCAATTTATTGCAAATATCTTCTTATTCATATATACTGATAAATTTTACTTCAACACGAGGAGTTGAGGATGTCATATGATCAGTTATCCTTTTTCTTTAGCTAATTGCCAAATTCTCGTTGCACGTTTTAATTTCCTTACGCTCACAACTCGTCTCTAAATAGAAATAACAGCAGAACGTGCTTTTCGTTTTTTGTTTATTTTTCATTTAACGTGATTGCACATCTCTAATGATAACCTCATTCTACTATAAATATTATCAGGGTGTTTCATTAATTTACAAAATAAGATGTTTTGGGAATGAAAATAAATATCAATCAATTACTAGGAGATTCTCGCATTAAGAAAAAAAAACAAAATAAAGAAATTTATAAAGTAGAAATAGAAGAAGGAAATCGAGCCAAAAACAAAAAGAATCAAGCGTAAGCATTTGAAAATCCTCAGCCCCCGTGTCATAATCAACAAAAAAGAGTACCGATGAATGAGACAAAATGGTCTATTAGTTGTTGGGTGGGGAACAAATCACATAGTAAATCCAACAATTAACCAACGGGTTAGGGGTAAAAGGCACAAAAAGTCAGGGGTATTAAAGAAAAAGCAAAAGCAAAATTTCACACATAAATACTCGTCAGTCCTTCACGCCAGGGCCTCGCGGTGCATGAATCAGTCGGATGCATTTGCATGCCGCCTTCCCTCTTCCATTTCATCAACCTTCACTTAGAGATCATTTTCACCCAAAATCACCGCCTCTTTTTCTTTAAACGAAAAAAACCTTGATCTCCATTCCATTCCTCTGCTCTTCCTTTTTTAATTACACTGTTTTCCGTTGTCAAGTTAAACCTTTTCCTCATTTCATTACATTCCTTAATTTTGTTTTTTTCCCCCCTTTAATTTCCTCAATCTTGCATTTCTCTTCGTCTCCAATGAAAAGAGACTCAATTTTTGTAGCAAGATTCCGCTTTTGGATGGTGGAAAGGCGGATGTTATGAACATTATTCATTCATTACAAGCCGAGAATCTTATCCCAAAGTTGGTTTGGCTTTCTAGGGGCGAGTTTTCTTATGCTCTCTTGTTTTTTAGTCCAGTTCTTTAATATTTATGCTGATTTTCCTGAAACTATGGACTTGTTCAGTTTTTATGTTTTCATGAAAGACTGCCATTGTTTATTGAAGCCAGTCTGTCCTCCCACATGTACTCTATTGCATTCACTTTACGAGGTTATGTTCATTGCATCGTTCATCAAATTTGATTCTAAACTTTTGATTGAAAGAGTAAAATAGTTATACTGTACCAAACAACTATCTTGCAGAGGCATCAGCATGACCACTCGTATTTTTTCACAAGAACGATCATTGCATGTACTATCAGCCATAATTAATAAGGTGTAATATTCGAAGCATTTTACAGGTTGAGTCCACATTTTCTTTTTGCCAAAGAAAGTGGGGGCCGTTTATTTCTTCTCTTTCAGAGGGTTCAAAATACACATTTCAGGTATGTCAGAGTTCCTATTTATGTTGAATGAAGTTCATAATATGGCTTGTTCTGTTCAATTCTTTCGAAATACCATTTTGAAGCAATTGAATTTGGACTTCTGAGGTTTGACTTGGCCATAAATTAGAGTCACCATTTTCATGTTTTCATGGCTGATGAGGTTTGAGGCCTTATTAGCTTCTGGTGGAAATAAATTAATTAAAAGAATGTCTAGTGTGATTGTAGAACTGGGCTTGTCTGCTGCAGTTGCATTGTATTGCGAACTTATCCCCTTGTTAAGGTTAGATTATGATATGTCTCAACTGTTTTCTCAAATTTGCAGGTGATACGTAGTAGTATTGAAGGACACTATGGCTAGTGTTTCAGATATTAGCGTTTCAGCTGCTATCAATCTTCTTTCTGCGTTGGCATTTCTTCTGGCCTTTGCATTTCTACGGCTGCAACCAATTAATGATAGAGTTTATTTCCCAAAATGGTATCTCAAAGGTATAAGGGCAAGTCCTAGAAGTTCGGGACCTTTTATGAAGAAGTTTGTCAATTTGGATATAAGAATGTATTTGAAATTCTGGACTTGGATGCCTGCGGCATTACGGATGCCACAACCTGAGCTTATAGATCATGCAGGGCTCGACTCAGCTGTATATATTCGCATTTATCTTCTTGGGTGAGTTTCTAATATTCAAGCCTATAACACGATACCGTAATTAGTATAACAAAGAGCTCATAGACTCAAGGCTATACTATTAGCATCTTGCGGAATGGAATCAGCAAGTTCTGAAGCAGTATAGAAAGATAAGTTTCTATTTTTAACGTTTCTCTAATTCACAAATTAAATGCAGATTGAAAATCTTTGTCCCAATAGCCATACTTGGTTTTGCTGTCCTGGTGCCTGTCAATTGGACTGGGAAAACATTAGAGCATATTCACAACTTAACATTCAGCAATATTGACAAGCTTTCCATATCCAATGTTCCTTCAGGATCAGAGAGGTAAGAGTCTAAACTATGTCAGTCCCTCTCGGACTCTTCTCTGTATTTGGTGTTCCAGGTATCAAGATGGTGGAACAGGGAAATTTTCCAACTTTTTGTTGAGTAAGCACTTCAGTGTATGAGTAGGTTATTGTCAGATCATGATGCAGTAAATCAGCAAATAAAAAACACAAATCTATTTAATGTCTACTGTCAACTCTAATTGATGGATTGTGGTTGTAAAGCATATGAGAGCTGGTTCTCCTGTACAATTAAATCATATGCAGCTACTTATGGTTACATTACTTCATGCACTCTCTTTGTGAGATTTAATTCTTGAGATCCTGAACTGCAAAGAACATACCTCTAATCCTTCAAACTATTAGTCTCTGTTTCAGATAAACCATTATCCTTTATGTGGATTTTTATGTAACAAGTACTTCCAAAATGTTAGGTATTCGTACTGCAAAATGTGCTGCATGTTTGTTGGCTATGCTACTGCTTTATTGAGATTGGCATATGGATGCTATTTGATGGCTTCTATGATATTCTTATTTTGATAGTTATGCTGATGGGATATTCTCACCAAGGACAACATATCCCTCTTTCTTTTCAGGTTGTGGGCACATCTACTAATGGCATATACTTTCTCATTCTGGACATGCTATGTTCTTTACAAGGAATACAAGATTGTGTCTACCTTGAGGTTGCATTTTCTTGCTTCTGAAGGTCGTCGTCCAGATCAGTTTACTGTGAGTAGGTCACAAGTTGTATTGACTAACCATGTTTTGGTCTGAGTTTCTCATGTTCTCACGGGTTCAGATTGGTAAAAATAGGAGCCTGGTGGAAATACATTATAAAACTGGTCGTTCACTTGGAAGAACTTATAGGGGTATAGCATACTAGTAATATATTTGCTAAGGGAGGAAACTCTTCTATAGGCAACCGTCTTGCATACATATTTGATTCATGTTAAACTGCATCGTGTTTATAGAAGGCTGTCTTATACATGTTTCAATGAGGTGTATGTCTGGGTATCTGATAAAGTCCCACACTAGTAAGTCTTGGGAATGAATGAACTTAAGGTCTTTACCTCTTCTAGATATTCTTTTGTTTTCAATATGTGAAAGAAACAGACAGAGTACAACATTAAGCTTCTGAAATAACTATGCAGCATCTTATTTTTTGTAAAGTTGGTCTTGTTGGTCTCCATAATATTTCTTTTTCATTCTATCATCAAATAGAAGGCAGGTCGTTTTGAATGTTATGGTTACCATATTACTTGCTCACTTTAACACAGTTGTGAATGCAATGGTA